GGGAGGGTTTTGATCTGACAGACAAATTAGAAAAAAAGAATGTACTTTTAAAACAAATTTACTAGACAGGGATTTCCCAAGCTATTTTTAAACCTACCTAAAAGAAATCCCCATTTTTATGACAAAGATGAAAGAAAATCCATCTTTCTGTTTAAGTTCCCAGCTGAGGAAGTGGGATTCTTTGTCCTGAATGCGTTCACTAGTGTCAAAACGTAACCATAATTGTCATTGCAGGTCTAACGGTGACTCTGATTTTATATCCCTCCTAACTTTGTCTGTGTTTTTAAAAAGCTACAATGAATTATTAATTTAAACGAATAATGCGTTTTATTTTTGAAGTTTTTAAGTGCAATGCTTCATTCTGTACATTCACAGGTTGATGAGCATATGTGGCCCCGAGGGAGCAACAGTCATCCTGTTAACACCACTATCCTTGTCCTAGTTTACAAGGGTGAAAGTGGGATCAAATTATTAATTGAATGTTCTCAACTTTAGTTGAGTTTAGTTACTAAACAGGTAAGTTGTGGCAATAAACTAAAAAATTAAGACTCTGAAGCTCGAATTGTCTCCCAGCTTGTCCCGACAAAAAGCAGTCACAGCTGCAAAGCCCAGATCCTCCCTGAGAAACATCCAAACATTCTGAATATTCTCTCTGTGCCTGTCGTGCTGGATGGCTGGATATACCCCACAGCTGTTGATAGGCCAGACAAGCTCTTGATTCAGTCTCATTCCAGCAGAGATGTGTGAAAGTCAAGCATCTCTGAACACACAGTGAGCCGAGTCTGCAGCCTCAGACGATGAATACATTATTCATCAGAAAAATCTAACAGACCCGGAGGTTTCCTCTCTTATGAAAAGTGCCCGGACTCAGTCCCTGAGGCACAAATCATGCTCTGATGAAAAGCACACGCAATATAAAGGTATTACATTTGCAAACACTGTGGAGGAAAACCAAGCCTCGACTAGCAATAAAGGACAGTAAATATATCTGATTATGAAAAACCAAGAGACTTTTTTTTAGCTGAATACAGATTTTGTAGTTATTTAAACAGAAGCTGCCAGCTCGCCTACACACATAAGACAGACTACTTCATGAATCCAACCTCTCCTGCCCTCAATTAGCTCTATGGGGAAAATTTGGCAAAGCTTTCATTTTGATAGTTATCATGGAAGACATACTAGTGTGAATTTTCCATTTCCCATCAAAAAGATATGAGATGTGAGAAATGCCAATTAATGCTTCAAACTGATGCAGAATTTCTTTGCCTTGGTTGGAAATCTATTTTTGTAGCACTTTTTCATAACACCAATTCTGTGCATCCACACCCGTCATTTCTTTCTCACATATAATATAATTACCCATGTACCGTTGACGTAAAACAGATAGAGAGCTTTTAAAAACAACAAACTAAAAGTAAGCAAAAAACTAAAATCTCATTTTTTTTTAAAAGGAAGGGGGTCAAAAACATCAATATCAATGTACTTTCTGTCCTCCAGAATTGCAGGTCAAAGATAACTGCAAGATCCCAAGTAAACAACAAACCAATAATCCACCGCACACGGGACCCACATCTGAATATCAGCAAGGCTAGACAGAGGAAGGCCTTTTTTTGTTCTCCTATTTATCAACACAAAGAGCTGAAGACATTACAGGTGAACTTCGGTTAGTTTAACCGTACATGCACGCAACAATGATCTTGAGCAAGTCTTTAAGCATAAAATGAGCAGATGACCGAAATCAAATCAAAAGCCTGAGTATTCTCCAAGCCGTTATACAAAGAGGATTATTCCGCAGTGGCTCAGACTTGACCCTGCAGCCATAAATACAAGGTGTTTGTCAGGCAATCTCAGCAGGAACGTGACAGAGTGAGCACTGCACACCGCCGTCTCCAGCAAAGTGATCACGACTACTTTAATAACTATCAGGAAGATTTGTACTTGTCACAAGCTCCTTAGATGTAACATCCCATTCTGTGCACTCATAAACAGGGAGGTAAATCTTTTACCCCTGTGCCACTATAATAACAGTAATATATCAAAGCAAAAATGACCTCCTTGGGTGAAATTGATTTTTCGTTCCTAAGGTTGTTCAGATTGAACTTTAGATATTAGAATGCATTATGAAAGCTTATTCACCACTGAATGGGGTTATTAAAGGCCACTGTATGGTTAGTGATGGACTACAGAGGGTCCAGCAGTTAAGATTAAAATTGTTGTAAAGCTTTTTTTTCTTCATGTTTCTCTAATGTCACTTGCAAATTATCACTTGTTTAACTAAAAGAAAAACAGATTTCCTTTTTAACTTCCTAAACATGTGACCTCAGTGAACAGTGACTTGTGGATGTCTACCAAAGTTGGAGTTGTATTTTTTTTCTTCCTCATAGCTGTTTCAAGTTAAAGTTAGTACTTCTTCTACTGAAGTAAAGTTACAAACAAAGTCACCCATCCCTCTAGTTTAAACATTATACAGCTCACCAGACATCCATCTCACCAGCTCCCGGATTATCCTTAAAATGGAAAAGATGATCTGTTAAACATAACCTAAACAAGTACAATTGCCTTTTAATATGCAGAGGGTGTTTCTAATATATGACTGTAAAGTCTGTAACTGGTTAAACCATTTCTCAGTCTGTCTGTAGGCCCTCCCACACAGTAGCCATAGTATATCGAAACACATTGCAGGATCTGCTGAGTAACAGCAAGGTTGACTAAACTGTTAGTTTCCAGTGAGGAGGGTCTTTTTCCCGAACAGACATGTGATTTTGTCTCTGACTGCCTCCAATGATGCGTCAGAGGCATGTCGGTAGCACTCAACTTCTACTGTCTACTCCATCTCGGCACTTAAAAGAAGGAAGCCAGAGAACAATGAAGGTGTATCATTCCAGCCTAGAATGGGTGGTGCAAAAAGCACGAGTTACTGAATATGTATGTGATACGTCTGACACTTTTGATCTGTGATAACAGATAACTGTGGCAGACTCACAAGGTCACACCAACGAACATTTACATGAGGAGCGCTGTCCATACTTTTTACACCATAGTTTTCCTCCTGATAACAACTGTTTTATCACATAAAGGTGTGTTTCCTAGTTAGAGCTAAGCATAGAAAACACTTTCTTAGGGGTAGGAAAACATTTTTTCAGCAATGTTCTTTTCAAAACTAATGTTGCATTAAAGCTGGTTTTGATGGTTTCAAAAGTGATAAATCAGCATTTATATTTCACAAGCTTGTTCACAGGACTGCCAGATCATACTTTACTTTGCTTTGAATTTGAAATATGTGGGCTGCTGTCAGTTTTTTTTTAAAGAGTTTAGTCTCTGTTTTCAAGGAAAACCTTAGTTCTCCAAGGAGTAAACGTTAATAAAAATATACATACAGGCTATCTTTGAGACTTGGGGAAAAAATGCTTGGGAAAAAGAGTGCTGATATCCTTCCATAAAGATGGGGGTTACATGGAGGTGCACTGGACCAGCAGAAGTAAGAGTGGAGTATATTTGAATAAATGAACTTATTTTTGGAGTTCCTGTATTCGGCTCACAACACATTCCTGGAAACAGGACTAATATCAGCAAACTGCTAGACAGCTGAGTTTGCCAGTTTCCTGAGTGCAATATAAACTTCAAGGAATGAAGGGTCTTTCAAAATGTTCAGACTTTTGAAGGTGTGCATGTCTACAGTCTCTGACAGTCAAAATGGAACATCCACATTCTTTAAATAAGTTAAGCCAAGTTTAACCAGGTTATATAAATGACTTTGAAAACAGCTTAGAGACCACTGTAGAAATGAATAGTAAAGCGTGATGATGTTAATTCAAACTGATCAAACAACAGCATGAAGGCATCAGATTAAATGTGTTGCATACCAAGTTCTTCTTCTCTTTTTTTCACCAGATTTACAACTGGCTGACCCAATTCAGTTTTATTGCAGCTGTCAACAGGGATAAGCTGATTTCATGTCCTCTGAAATGTATGCTTTTCCATCTCAGACATGCGCAAATCCAATTACGTTCTAATTGAGTGTTACAAGGCTCATTGATTATGACAGAAGCAGTGGATGAGGTAGGGCAGGAGGAAAATATCCCCAGCGATTAGCTGTGCACACAGGAGGCCTCCAGGAGTCATGATTTAATATTGGGGCAACATTTCTCACCATTACGCAATATGAATAGACTTTTCCTGTTAAAACTGTGTGAATTTTTAAGCAGCGCATATTAAAATTTAACATAACGCCTGTAGATATCAAATATGTATAGCATTGTGGATTATAGTTACCAATTTAGTATATTTCCACTACAAATTTAAGAAAAGAAAGAAAATATAAAGATTAAAATTTGGACGGATTTGATATTCCACATGGTAATATTACTTCCCATGCATCATTACAAGCCAATGTTAAACTGTAAGAAAAGACATGGAATGATACCAGTGATAGGGGTCACCATGTGATTAATGAAGCCTCAAAATAACGTGTATAACAGTTGCACCCCTCTTTGCTTTTCAGCAGACCTGCACACTAGAGTATTTTTTCATCAGAAGAAAAAACATGTTTAAATTGAAAGTAACATCATTTGTTTGTGGTTTATTTTTCATAGAGACCCTACTGAATACCTGATGAGAGCTTAACAGTAAACAGGAAATCCACGCAATGTCATGGATCTCATCAGAATCAGCTCAGTATTGTCCCTTTATTTCAACAAAAATGCTTTAAAGCTGAAACTCTGCAACATAAACTTTATCTGAGAACAAGCAGGATGAAATGCTGACTCCAATTAGTCCTCTTCTACTTGGGATAAATAAACAGCTATAAAAAAATATGCATGAATGAATATTTTTTCAGACAGAACACAACATAAAAAATTACGCTTTTCTGTGATGTTTACATGTATTACTTAAAGGATATTGCATAACTTAAACTTCACAGTGGTCAGTGTCTCCTTTGTTTCACAAGAGCTTTTTTCTGAAATTGCATACAACACTAATTTTATGATTCTTTCACCATCACAAGATAGACAGAGAGCAAAGTCCCATCCTCGCACTAGATGAGGTGTCCTTAGAAGAAGAAAAAAAAGACCGAGTTTCTTTTGAGATCACCGTTTATGTAATTATTGAACCTATCTCAAGTATGTGTGTGTTGAAAAGGCATTAGGACCGACTGGTCACAGGTGACCCATTCAAAACCAGACGACATACGGAATAAGGTAAGACCCTGATTTGGAACAAACATTTAGAGGAAATATGAGCAGAGTTGGAATAATGTGTTAGGGGTGTCAAGTCGAAATGTGATCATGCGATGCACCAAGTCTATAAGTTATTTCTAAAGGGTAAATATTCGCTTTTGAAAAAGTCGAAAATGGTCAACTTTGACATGAACCCCCCCTCCACGCCTGTGGCGCAGTGGCTGCACACCTGCGGACTGTGGTTCGTATGTCTGCAACCACAGATAATATGGAGCACTATTACCTGCTGCAAAACAGTCGGATTTGCATTTGATGTGTCTGATATGTCATATAACGTTATCAAACAAAACACAAATTTGAATCAGCACAGAAACGCCGTGAGATCGTCTAACGCGCAGGCAGAGAAACCGAGCACAGGTGACTCGATTACCTGTCGAGGCTCCCAGGCTGAGAGTGTCTTTGTTCAAAGGATCAAGCTCAACTTAAAAGCCATGAAATTGCTCCGGGATGTCGGTTTGAAACCGGATCCAGCCTGGTACCAGCCTTTCACATGAACAGGAGGGAAGCCGGCGCAGCTGTGTGTCTGCTGAATGTCTGAGCCAAACCGGGGGCAAAAAAAAAAAAAAACTTTCAGAAAAGTTTAACATTTGTCCAATTAATGGAAATGCATTGCCCCATATTAGTCTGGTTTGTGATTGTCATTAAATGACTCAAACCTCTGTAGGTATCTGGCTTGATTAGTTTAAGAATGCCTGACTTTTCTCTTGATGGTGTGACTGTTTACATTGTTAAAAATGGATTAGCCAATCTGAGGCTCAATTATGTTTGTTTTTATAAGGCCCATGCTCAGCACAGTTGCTTCCAAAGGCTTTGGAGCCAACTTCCTAAACCTGATAGAAGTGAACTGTCTGGTTCAATCAAACTACCTCTCTGTGATGTAACTGTTCAAAGCATTCTTTGTTCAGTGACCCCTTTATTTGCTGGGCTGCTTTTACTTTGGGAGCACATTTGATTTGGTGGCTTACTCTGCTTGAGAACCCACGTTTTCTCAAGTGTTTGAGGGGGACATTTAGTTGCATTTAAGGCTGTGTGACCGTAATCTTGTCATAATGAGGGTTTGCTGACATGGAGGCAGTGTTGCAGAACTGGCTTAGTCTCAGCCAGAGCAGCTAAATACAGGAATAGATCTTTTCAGACATATTACACTGGACACACAGGAGCTTTATTGTTCTGCGCTGGTGTTCATGAACACATGCATGTAAATGAATGAAGTGTCGACGAAACATTATGTGAATGTTTCACTCTTTGTTCACCGTATAAAGAAAAAGACAACAGGAATGGTGGATTTGACATGGCCCCTTGAGTTCAGTCGGTCATGGTAGGACTCACATGCTTGTGGTGAAATTAACTTGGTGGCTCCCTCTGATCTAAGAACAGTTTGATTTCAATTGAAGACAAACTCCCTAAATTGTACATTGTAACTGGTATTGACTTTAGGACATTGTGAGGGAAAAATAAAGCATGCAAATTTCAGAAGGATATCTGGCATCCAAAACGACAGGAGTCAAATACTACTGGTTTTGGTTTTAGAAATTAAAATCTTGTAGGCAAGGCAAGATTCCAAAACTGGTAATTTGACAAAAAACATTTAAGTGTCGAAATGCTTATCAAAGTTTTGGAAAGTAACCAGATTGAACCGAAGTTATGTCTTCTCACAACTGGAACCTTGCATGTTGAAAAATGAAGATAACGAGTTCTCCAGTTGGGAGTGAGACCAGGCTCAAGATGCATTAAGAAAGTGTAATCATTTAATACTAGGCATTTTTACACAGTAAACAGTGTAATATACAATTAACACGGTATCTAAATTGTTTATGATTATCAAGATAAAGATTCTCCTGCACAGCATCTTCTGCGCAATAAAGCCAGTAGCACCATACAATGTTTGGCTTTTATTTTACAATATTTATATACATTATGCATACAATTTAGTAGAAATAAAGATTTGCCCATTACAAAACCCATATCATTTTGTTTTTCCATAGCGCAAAAAATATTTTTACACAGTGACAGAAAATTCGCATTTTTAAATTGCCCCTGAATGCACCATTGCAATACTATCTTCTATACTCTGACATAATGTCTGATCTCACAGCTACTTAAGAACAATGGCTCTGAGAATATCCCAAAATGACACTGTGCTACATGTTCTGAAGGATACATTTTCTTTCTTCTCATTGCATTAGTTACATTGACTGCAGAACTATTTGAGTTTACTTTTTCAAAATGTTAAGCTATTTTCATATGAATATGCTTTTGCACAAAGCTATCGTACTTTATCAGTAGAAGGCAAAGTGCTAAGGTGAAAGAGTCCTTCCTCTATCCTTATCAAGTTTAGCGGGAAGTGTTATCAACAGATGTAAAGGTTCCCCCAACTTGCCGTACTGAAAACAAGTTCTTCCATCCTTCCATTTCAAATTCCATGTTGTAATAGTGATTCACCTGGAAGAAGTTTGGGTATCCTTTTGCAAATGTGACTGAACTGGGACAGACGGAACAACATTAGAATTTCCCTGTTATCAGCTTGGAACTCTGATAGCTCCGATAGGACAGGCATAATGCTTGTAGCTGCCCACACACAGTCCTGGCCGGAGTTTTATAACTGCACACCTGACCACGCTACTTCTGCCCCCACAGGTCCACCAAAACTACTTCAAAAGTAGATGTAATCCCAGTAAGCTGCAGGTTGCCCTCCAGATTGGCTCCCCAGATCTTCACATTATTCCCTCCTCTCACACGCTGGCCCCCCTCTCACTCTCTTCTCCAGATTCCTGGTGTGGTGGAAAACCCTCAGCTGAAATAGGGCCTTTAACGGGGTGGAGGCAGTGCACAGCAGCCAGGACCTGTCACATTACTCTCAGCACCACAGTGGGACCGGAGCACCTGAATGCAGGCTGTGAGAGCGGGACGCAGAGTGTGAGCAGACCAAACACAGGGAAGCCGGGACGCATCCGCAGCAGCAACAGAGTCCAACTTTCGGACTTAGGCGAAACTTTTTCCCCTTGAGTCAGGGGGGATCATCACAGCTGGGTGTCACAAGAGACTGTGGTTGGCAGTATTCTAGCTCCTCTGTACCTGGGGAAAAAGAGGAAATACCATGGATAAGGATGCTCCACTGGACTATGAGTATCCAGACCTGGATCCTCTGCCAGACAAAATTGAATCAGAGTAAGTACGTGCTTGAGGTATTGCTGTAAAATTGTGATCCTCCAGGCTCCACATGTCCTCCAGCTGTCCCGCCTGTTGTCTATAAGTTTGTAATGCTTTAAATGTGTCTGTTAAAACTTCACATATGAAATCCCACACACATTTCATCTGCATTACTTTTATTACTTACTTCTTTACTCCCTTTAGTCCACGTCTCTTTGAGACACCCCCCCCCCCCCCCTTGAGATACTAGGTAACACTTGGCTCACTTCTCCAGAGCCAGAACCAGTGTGTGGTCCTGTTTCAGCTCGTATATCGTCACATATCATGGTTATATCATTTTCAGGTTTTGAGGTTGCTCTGGAAACTAGCTGGTTTGGCCAGTCAGATCCTTTTACAGCAAGCTGTGAGAGTGTGATATTGTGATGCACTCAATCCATTTGACCCAATAAACATTTGAATGTTTTGACTCATCGCCCACAGACAATGAAAATATAGAACATTATAAGTAAAGTCATCCTTTGCCCATTGTAAGTTATACTTGTAACGGATACACGTTAGAAGATCCTGGGATTAACAGAAAAAACATTTGTGTAAATTAACAGAGTTTTGGATAAATTGAAACTTTCTGTTTCAGCTGTGATTCCAGAAATAAAATGTCTGTTTTCTGTATACCCCATAACAAAAGTGCACATTATTTCTACAGGTAATGGATATTCAGACAGTAATGTCTACATTTGTTGGAGTATTTGCCAAACTGTCCTAGACTTTTTTGGTCAGGCTGAGGAAATGTGTGTTTAATGCCTTTTCTGAGTTGTAATTGCCTCTCCATGACCAGGCATTCCCTCTCCTCCAGTGCATGGGAACCTGACCGTAGGCATTTGTTGTTTTTCTGTCACGCTGATACCAATCCGTTTAAATGCAAATCTCTGCTGGGGGATTTCAGACACAAAGTTTCCTGCCACAAATGGTCCTGATGGTGACGTGAGGAAAAAAATGTTGTGAGGTGCAAAGAATAAAGCTTTATGGCCCAGATGATATGTTTTGCTAACATTTCAATGTTTTCTTTGCTTCTTCAGAACAATTCCCCCATGTGACCCCACTGCTGATGACATGCTCTATCACATATGCATCACGGCCATATCTGTAAGTTCTTCTTCCTGTCAAATTTATGTTGCACGACTTTACACTGATGTGCCATACGCTGTCATTTATTTTCTAGGTATGTGATATTAGAGCCTGTAATCAGGCCATAAAACGTTTCAGGTATGGTTTTCATTTCCTGCATGCGGTTTTGCAGGCAGGGCTTTCTGTGTTTGCCTTGTTTTATTGCCTCCATGAAGCTACTCTTTTATCCGTAGCTTTTTTGTTTGGCTATTTTTTTAGACACTAGCCAAGGATAAAAAAATCAACATTTTCAGTCAACTTACCTTACAGTATGAACTACTTCTGAACACTTGTGCATCATATGACAGACAAATTGTCATGAGAGCAGAAATTTGACTCAAATTTGAAAAATGTCTTTAAAGTACAAATAGACCATGTGGTAATCATGCATACTATAACATACTTTTTTGCAATAACATACTTTTTATTCTTATCCTTGTTTCTCTAATCATTGTGTGTAACTAAAAAAAAGTGTTTGAATCTCTCATTCCATGTTTGCAAGGTGGTGTCATGTAATTTTCTGTTTTTCTCTTCTATTCCATTTGTTAGTGTTGCCCTAGAATGCCTCAATTTTAAAGAAAGCTTTCTTCTCAGCCATACATTTCCTAAATGTGTCACAGGTCAGGACAGGTCATTGAACCTTAACTGATCAGTGATCCTGACTAATGACTATTCATTCAGACCACATCCATGGGGAGCAGTAATGAGACTGTGGTTTGGCCTTTTGTGGCATGGAGTCCCATCATTTCTAATGTGTAGAAGGGATTGAACTGATCCCAGAAGAATGTACAGCTACATGGAATTCTTTCAAGCTAACGGAAATGTCTTCTCCTCTAGTTGGTTGTCATGCTGATCCTAGCCATCTTAGCCAGGCGCACAAAGGCTGGCAACAGACAGAAAGGGCTTCCAGGTTTACTCAGGTGAGACTGTTTCTTTTAGTACCACGTTATTAGCTTTAAGACTTGGTAATCTGTTCTTTCAGAACAAAATTTAAGTGGTTAGATTAAAATGTTTTAAGTATGTAACAGCAAAACACAGTTTTTCATAGAAAGTACTTTCGTCCAATCATATCACAAAGAACGTGTCGCATACAGAGACTTAAACTGAGGTGGGAAAACAAACCTTTTGTAAGTGACCATTTGGCATTGGAGGTGAAAATTCAACAATCCTGATACCATTAGTGTTTATTTGTTCAGTTGTCGGATCATAAATCAAGGAGGTGTGGATGTTTAGATTGTTGCAGTTTGTCACTCCATCAACTGATTAGCAAGTGCAGATCACGACAAATTCCTGCTGGTACTCTCACAAAACAACAAGAAACCATACCGCAAATGTCAAAACACCAGTGCATTCATTTGATTTGCAAGAAGCAATTAACTCCAAAAAGTTTACCTCAATTTAGCTGTTGGTCACATAAAAAAGAAATAAAGCAAAAAACATGGCTGTGTTGGGGTATTTGTGTTACCATATCTAATGGTAATGATTGTTTGCACTGATCATGACTTTTATGGTTTTATGGATGTAAAAAATGTCAGTTTCCCAATTTTTATGAAGGTTGAAGCATCAAGGGTAATTTTTCATGCTAAACTGAACATGAATGGTGGCAAAGCGGTTTCATTGGATCAGTTAGCCAATGCTGATTCTGGTAACATGTGACACTGAACATCTTCTGCTTTATTTTCCAGTCCTGTCAACTTCCTGGACCACACGCAGCACAAAGGCCTGGCAGTGGCTGTGTTCGGAGTGCTCTTGTGCAAACTATGGGGCCTGCTCATCTCCCCAAATCCCCTGCCCTTCACAACAGACACCAACAACAAACGTGAGCCACACTTTGCATTATATAGCACCTTGATATTTCCTCAACATCCCACACTTTTAGTTCTTTCCAATTAATTCTAATGCTTTAGTTAAAGTGAAACAAGTAAGGGAGTGGTGGACAGTTTTAGACACAGACATCTCCTTTCATGCTACTCTTTGTTAATTCATTATGTTATATAACTGGATTATTTTGTTTCCGTGCTTGTCTGCTATTTTTAACTTAGGCATTTGAGCAGCTTTGTGTTCAAAATTACATAAGAAATGATTGAAAGGAGTTGCCCCGTTGCTGCTTTGCTCAACCCCCCCAATATTCAGGAGAACAAAGTTTTCTTGACTTGAACTTAGAGCAAAGTTGTTTTTGGAGTCGTAAGAAGGAAGGCTGTTACGTGTTGATGCTCTTGGTCCTCACATACCTTTGCTCTATTTGCAGAGAACTGGGTGATCCTGGGAGTTTTCTACTACCCCGCGCTATACTACCCTCTCCTGGCATGTGGCACTTTACACAATAAAGTTGGCTATGTTCTTGGTAGCCTCTTGTCATGGACACACTTTGGTGTTCTAGTCTGGCAGAAAATAGATTGTCCTAAAACAGCTTTGGTGAGTAATAGTCTTCTTCATTGTCAATACGTTAAAAAAAACTCTTCTTTGTCCTGGTTTGCCAAACCACTGTCTAACAAACTAGGCGGGGCAGTGGTATCCATAAGAGATGGAATTTTAGAAGATGAAAATTAGGCTTTTCAAGACAGATCCGTGAATTTTGTTTGTGCTGTCAACAGCTACAACTCCGAACAATTAGTTCTGCTGTCCTTAAGTCTTAATCAAGAAGCTTTTTTCACTGTTAATCACTTTAGTGTGTGTCAGTAAAAAGAGACAACCACACAAGATGTTGTGCTATGGTTGTCTTTTTCTGTTAATTCATTTGGGGCTTGTGGCACATGAGCTAAATCCCTTTTGGAAAATAGTAAGTAGTTAAGTAAGTCATTAAAAGAAGCAGTAAAAGGAAACTCTTGTTAGTATTTAGCTTCTTTTGTTCTAATGTTAATTTGAATCATTTATAGTCAGAAATGGTTGCCAAGCAACGTACAGAACCCTTTTTGTCAATTTTTAATCCATACTAAGTATATTCGTCACTCTTAAACCTCCCAGAACACGTCACAAAATGGCTTAAACTTTGGCTCAAACCTCTATTTCTCTTACAGATACACAAATACTACTCCCTTTTCTCCAGCCTGCCTCAAATAGCCTGCTTGGCATTCCTAAGTTTCCAGTATCCCCTATATCTATTCAAGGGCCTGAAGGGTACAGAAAAGACCAACGCCACAGAGGTAAGGTTTGATCTGAAAGCAGTTCCTCTGACGTGTCTGCCTCATGATGACTGACCAGTTGAAGAAATTGAAACGCCTTACAAAAACACTCACATTTCATCTAAAGCTGCGTATGTGAGGAAACTTTATAAGCTGCCTGCTAATCAAAGAGCTTAGCAAACTCATACAGTCCAGGCTTACGGAAAATGTAAAGCCCACGCAGCACACCAGTGGCATAATCATTTTAAGCAGATTTGACGTGATTGGTCTGCGATATGTTCTTGATCAGATTATGAAAAGGTTACCTTGTTTTTTTTCCTGAGGAGACACACAATGCTGTGTTTATTTGATGCTAATCTTGGCATAGGTGAAATAGAGTTTGTTGAGGCGATTGCATGGATTTTGTATCACCTCCAGCCAGTCTCCCCCCGCCTCTTGCAAAGAACTGAACTTTATGATCCCCATCAAACAAAGACTTTTTCATTGGTTTCATTCATTTGAAAAATGATAAAATAGCAAGTTGTGGAACTGGCCAGTCTCTCAGGTCTAAGCCTTTTTCTAATGGATTTATTTTGTTCTTGCAGGCTGAGATAGGCTTGTCTCTCTTGCTGTTCATGATTTGAAATTCAATTACCAGAAAATAACTCAATCTTTTACCTTTTAGAAAAGTTCTGCATATTTTAAAGCTATAACACTGGAATTCAAAAGTGCTGAGAGACAAAATTTCATAATATAACTGTAGTTTGAACGTCACATAAATGTGGTTTTTAAATGATTATTCAACAAAACAAATCATTTTCCTGATATTCATTTCTTTATTTGTTGTTATGTATGTAAATATCTGCTCTTACCATTTTGACTTCATCTGTGCCTTTAGGATCTGAGCAGCAGTTACTACAGAGACTATGTAAAAAAAATGCTCAACGAAAAAAAGTCCAGCAAAATTGGGTAAGAATTAGAGGCTGTAAACAACAGTACTTGTTTTGTTGTTTGATGAATCTTCTTTTGTGCATATCATATTATGGTGAATCAGGGTGTGTTAAAACAACTAAAGCCAAGTGTAGAAGTTTTGTCTTTTTTTTTTTTTTAAAGTAAGTTTTACATAGCGACAAATTATTGTATTCTGTTTTAATTCCAATCTCATGCTTCGTGCCAAGTTTTTAAAAAGTGGTTGTATCAAGTGTATTTAAATGCAGGTTTGACCTTTTTAAGCAATCCTCCCTTAGATTTTTATCTTTTATTTGACAACTGATAGTAAACAACATGGGACAGGAAGAAATGACACAGCTCCAAACTTGGCTTCTTTACTCTTCAGCAGTTTTACTTTTAAGATTTTAGCCTAAACATCTAGAGAGGGGCTGTATTCAATCATATTCAAAACCGATCCACGTACAGAATGATCTGACTGGATGATTATAACCTTTTTCCTTCCAAATAATTTTTTATTCAATTTGATTGTTTTAGTGAAAAACTCTTTTGTTAATTTGGGTGGAGTAATGTGTAACTCTATTTAAATTTTTTTGTTCACCTTTAGAGCTTCAAGCACAGACAAGCCTAAACTCCCTCAGAAAATAGTTGACGCAGTGAAGTCATATGTTTACACACCAGAAGACGGTAAATATGTTCTCTTGATCTTCAGATGTTATTTTAGATTTGGCATTCATACTTTACTTCAGTAAACTAAAAAAGTGAATTATCAGTGAAAATCTACACTTTAATATGTGACATGACTTCTATTCTCCGAAAAGTACTGCAGTGTATTATATACACATTTCTGTCTGTGTGTTGAGCAGCTTTCCGTTTCCCACTGAAGTTGGCCATTTCCGCTGTGGTTTCTATTATAACCTTGTTTCAGGTAATGATCATATCTGCTTTCATTCTTATCATCTACTACCTTGTATTCAGTGGTAAATGGTTTGCCATGCATAAGAAGAGAGACATACACAAATAATTTTATATCATCACATTTTTTGCCACACTTCATCTATACGTCAATATGTGCACTGCATTCAGCTGTGAGTGAGGTTATTGGCAGCACAATGTTTTCTCTGGTATTAAATGAAGCTCTTGGCTGGTTTGTTCTCAGATGGGCCTTTTATTGATCTCCGCCGTGGTGCCAACTCTCCAGACCGCCCGCTATGGAGTTGATGAAGATATTGCGAACGTTTTAGCCGGATTCAGGATTATGCTATCTCCAGACAGACGGGAAGTTGTCAGGATTGTAGTTTATTACATGTGGTGTGTGGAAGGTGAGTAAGAGCGGAAGCAGCCTTTTAGGGACAAGAGAGCTGAGGGCTAAGCGTGCATGAACTCCCTCAGACTTTATTTTCAATGTTGGTGTACTTTTGTAAATGAAGTTCACCTCTCTTAACGCTTTGTGTTCATTTCCCTGCAGTGTGCTACATCTCAGCAATGACTCTGTCTTGTTTGGTCAACTTGGCCATGCTCATGAGGTCTATGGTTCTACATCGGTAAGTCGGAGAATAAAACAAAATAAAAAGTTGTTTTCTCTAAACGTTTTTCTCCTACTTTTGACACAGTGTCGAGTGTAAAAAATCCTAATAATCGTTTTCATTTTGGTTCCTTCATTCTAATGCCAGGCTTATGGTAACATAATAGAGTACTAATCGTCTACATAAAAAATCTCTCTGTGCTAACTGCTTCTACAATTGAAAATAGCTGCTATCTTCAGATGAGAAATGAAAAGCTGCGCCATTACCATAAAAACGACAGCATATTAAAAGAAATGGGCTTTCTGAGTTGAATTGAATTGGCTTTCAGTTAAATCCGCTCCTAAAAGACCTCTTCCATTTGCAGTGTAATTTGCACATTTAGCAATTCATCATCTCATGTATTAGTCCTGCATTGTCTTGATTGTGTTTTTCTTTCTTTAGGTCAAATCTAAAGGGGCTGTACAGAGGAGATATCCACAACGTCTATAACTGCCAGCGAAGTATTAGGGCGTCCAGGCCGGCGCTGGTCTGCTGGATGGGATACACCAGCTTCACTGCAGCTCATGTTTGCTTTGGTACTATTACACACTGAGCAAGCAAAAATTCAACTTTTCATTTTTGTTTTATATTATGGCTATATATTACAGTATGTATTAGACAGTGGGAGCACAGTGTGGAAGAGTTAGTCTTGTAAAGGCTGACGCTCTAATCTCTCGCCTGCAGGCATGATCATCCAGACTTTGGTGTTCTTCCTTTGCCTCCTGGTTGCTGTCTTCCTCATAATCATGCCCATTCTGCATGGACAGAATCTGATTCTGTTTCAGATCCTGTTGAGCATGTGGTGAGTGTATACACGTTTAGTCACATACAAGCGGACTGACCTTTCTGGTGCTCGAAATCTTTGTTTTAAGTTGAGAACTTGGTTATAAGAGTGCAAGCCCCAAATGTAACGTCCAACTGTTAATGTTTTTCTTCCTCTTGGTCTTTGACTTTAATTTGACACCTGGTCATCAATTACTGCGCTCTGCAAAGATGAACCGGGTTCACATAATTTCCTGTCAGCCTGTTGCTTGTGTTATTTCCCAACAGGAAATGACTGATGATTTTTGTCCTTTCAGGCCCTTCTGGCTGATGATTCTTTTGGCTGTGTTGATTCAACACGTCACTGCGCGCTTTTGCTTTATCAAAAAAACAGCAGGCACACGAGACTTGGACAACAGGTAATTTCCTACATTTGTGTCTATGTACACTTTGCCTTGTATTCCCTGATAACATCCTGTATGATTGACGTGCTCTGACTCATCTTTCAGGGGTAACCTGTTCCTGCTGACTTACTTGATGTTCCCTGTCAATGTTCTGATCGGGGTTCTATTGGCTGTCTGGCGTTTGATTATCTCAGCCCTCTTTAACATCATCCACATGGGGCGCATGGACATCAGTCTTCTTAACCGCAATGTGGAGGCATTTGACCCAGGTAAAATCTATAGTGTGCAAATGATCAACACAGCCATACTGTGTCATTGTGTGCTTTGCCGATCATACAGAAACATCAGGTCACCTTCAGTGCTGTAAATGCATTCATTAAGGTCCCTAACCCTGCTGTGCAGCGTAGTGCCCAGTTCTTGGCTCTCTATGCTATTTTACATTTTCCCCTGTCAGTCTCTGTCACTTAGTGTTTTCATATTAAATATGTAAGGCATTTTTATTTTCTTCTTATTTCATGCAGGCTTCAAAAGAAGTGTTTTTCTTGCAAAGAAAAAGCATTTTCATTATTCCACTTATTTGCATCCTATTCACTTTGTTGTTCTGCCAGCTCACTGCGGCTCGTATGATATCTGTATTCTGGCAGTGCATGGACACTAATTGCAGACCGATCTCTGAAATGGCTGCAGGTTTTAAGACATCTGTTGTCAGGAAAAGCAGGTGGTTTAAAAAAGGGGGGGGAAATAGAGAGGTGTGATTGTACGGTCATTATGTGTGATTGCCTCAAAGCCAACATGGGGTGCCGTCCTGCGTCTTTATTGCTTTTGCCCTGTCAGAATGAACGCCCCCCCCCTCCCCCTCTCTCTGTCTGCCTGCAGCCTACCGTTGCTATGCTCATTATCTGAAGATTGAGGTGAGCCAGTCTCACCCTGTGATGAAGGCCTTCTGTGGGATGCTGCTACAGTCTGTGGGCCAGGGGAACAAAGCTGCGCAGGGGCCACGAGATGCGGAAGAGGGTCTGTAGCACAAAACTCAGCTCATGGCACCGGTCACTATGTATTATATATCCATTCCTCTGTTGTGCTCAAAAGCCAGAAGCAAAATGTGTCTGAGATAAAGTCTGTTTTTTAATTGCTATCCAGATACAACTGGAGTTTCAGCAGCAGGAATGTGAATACTGAAAAAAGTCAATTTATCACAATGTCAGTGTTCCCATTGACAAACTCCTAGTGTTACTGGTGCGTTTGTGCTGTAATTAAACATTATGATGCTGAGGACGCGGCTGTGATGTGACTACACATGTGTTAGTATCTGTTGGTTTTGGACCTTTCATGACAAGAGAAAATATAGAGTATAACCAGTATGTTCTACCCTAATTTCAATATTAAAGGCAAAGCGGCATCTGTAACTTAATTTAATAGCAGGTCACTGTGAGATTTTATCAGATCATAAAACTGCGTTGCACGCAGACGCTAGATGAGAGCTTCACAGTTCAGATTTGATTTGCCCCGAGAAAATTGAGTCTCGCTATGGAGTAATTTACAGTCTTGCTGCTGGTCTCAGTCATATCTGTCATAAATAAGTCAGCTTTCCTTATGACTCTGTGCCTTCTGCCACAAAACAGCAATATATTTGTGGGTAAATGCAATAGTCACTCTTAGATGTGAAAAAAATAATATTTTCCTTTCTATTAAATTGCCCAAATTATCAACAACTCAAGAGACTGTTTTGTTTTCAGCATTATAGTGAATTTTAAAGGAGAGTCCATCACGATTTATCAGTTGCTGTGGAATGTAGGCACTTCTGAATCCAAATACAAATGCACGACCACCATGTTGGTTGTTAGACATCTGTAGAACGATATATTATCAAGAATCTATTGTCTGGCAGAGATTACTTCTCCGGTTGCTGATTACGCAGATGAGCGCTGCTAATTGCCTGTTACAGATGCATTGTGCCCAAGGGGTTTAAGCGTTCAGTGTGTTAATGGTGGACTGATATGCTCCCACCATGCTTAGAAGATTAGAATATGATTGGTTTCTATTATTACTCTTTATATAGTATCGTACTAGTCCTGGGCGACCCACAAAAGAGGCTCATTTCAGCTAAGTGTCAAAAAAGATAATTATTTATGTGACTATGTTGTTGTCTGAATGCCCTCAGGAATCCAGCTGGTCCAGCAGGAGAAGAAAGTGCACAAAGTATCCACTGCCAAGAGGGCCCGCAGACACTGGCAGCTCCTCTACACCCTGGTCAACAACCCCTCCCTGGTGGGCACCAGGAAGCACTTTCAGCGTCAGACCACAGAGAGCTTCCTGAATGGCAGCCTCAACCGCAGCGCCAACCAGGGGAGCAAAAAGGAGGCGGAGGCCTCGGCCAGCAACTGAACAAGAATGCGCAACCCTGATGAAGTATTGGCGGCAGAGGCTCTGGGGTCAGATACTACTGTCACACTGCTTGTTAAAACCTGCAGGTAATGTCTCTGCATTTGGCAAAATAAGTGCATTGTAGCTCCGTGCCTCATGTAGTAATGTTCTTTCCTGTTTATCTGGAGACTGTGAGTCCTTTCTTTGCTCTTCATGTTGCCCTGTTTGTGAGGGCCTCACTCTTGGGTTTGGAGGGGAATAGCGTGGGTGGCACTGATTCATATAAACAAATGTATTAGAAATAATTTTCACCACATGTATGTGCTTATTTTGGGATAGACCTTCTCTGCACTAGATTTTAACCTTCAGGTTAATGATGTTGTAAAGTGCAGCTAATCCAAATGAATAGTTGCCCAAACTAAACACATGGGTGTACCATCCACTGAAGAAACCTGTTTAAGAGGGTATTTATATAGAGAAAGATAACTATTTATGAATATACAAATTTAACTGTTTTAACAGACTGGCTGATGAATATTCTTTTTTCCCTTTTGTTTCCTTGTTTTTTTGTTTGTTTGGGTGTTTTGTTTTTTTCTGTTCATTGCATAAATTCTGTCAAGATAACCTGTGGAATAGAAGCTACGAGAGAGAAAATATTTTTTTCTTTAAATTTTAGACCATTAAATCTAAAACCACTTGCTGCTACTCTCTTTTGTTGTCTCAATTTATTTCTGCCATCTCTACATTATGACATTCATTTGACATATATATATATATATATATAAAGAATATTTTGAATATAAAACTAAAACTGAATTTCGAAATCCAGTACTTATGTAGGACTTGCATATATGTTCAAACGCTTCTTTCTTGTTTAAAGTGTTAAGCTGAACCATAAAGAATGACAACCAAGAGTATAAGTGTTGACTCACTCGTTCAAATAGAGCAGTTTCTTTATTTTTATTATGCATTAAACACACAATTACCCTGACTTTCATAATGTATTCTACAGAAAAAGATTAACTCTGATATGAAACCCGTGTCAACTTGTAAATATGAAAAATGCTTATCATTAGATTTTTAAGTGCTAAACTGTATAAGGTTTTATTTTTATTTTAGAGGTAAGAGAAAACAAACAAATCAAACACCCTTCCTAGTTTCATATGTTTTATTAATTCCACTTACATAAAATTATATCAAAAAATTTCCAAGGAGCACTTTTTTTAACAACATGGTTCACAAAAATTCACTCTATGCATCAAATTACAAGAGAGCGAAGTGTCCAGACGCCCACTGCGCCTTTTTCCTCCGACTTCTCTGAAAACATCGTAAAAAAAGATTATTTTTTCTATTAACTTGGCTTTATATCACAGGTAGACAGTCACATCTAAAGTCCTACAGACTACACTAAGAAAAACCACACAGGAAAATACGTGTGACATGCCACGGACACGTTCATTGTAAAAAGCGAGAGTACAGCAAGCACCCGTTGTTTAAGAGGTTAAAGTCGCACGTTTTTAAAGCCTTACATCAACGTGAAATAACATTTTTCCTTGGTAAGTAACCCGGGGTTTTCTCTCCGTCGAGCGCAACGGCACCTGAAAGCGCAAAGTCCCTTCTGGACTCACAGGACATCTGGACGCTGGTAGGTGCGACATCACTATCATCTCCTTCAATCAAACGCGTTATGACACAAAATGTGTTAGTTTTGTGCTTAAGTCAAGTACTGACGCCTGAGAGGATGTTACGGTCTCTCCTGCAGCCTTGAAAGGACGCACACCGCTTTAAAAGAGAAACTGGTCCCTGTTTGGTTAAAATAGCGTCTTTTAAAATAAGAAATAAAATAAAAAAAGTGGCGGCTGCCACTTTTCTCATTTGATCGTTTCCCAAAATGTATGATTGAAACATTTATAGCTACCATTTATATTTCCTTCAATCTTCTCTTTGCGCCACTGCGTTTGCACAATTTGCGCGCGTGCCCAAAGGTGTCGTTTTAACAGAAAGGGAACATTTCGCTATTCTACTGTTGGTTTAGAGGTCTGATAAACTGTGTAAATCTGTGCTTGTAGAACGATTTACTGTTTGTAATTCCACCACAGACTACAGATGAAACACCAATTTACAATGATTGGAGGACGACTTTCTGAGGTAAAAGATTAATGATCCGTTTTTTTTAATATATTTTAAATCGTACGCCGACGTTTTTCACGTGTAGCAATAATGTGTGAGTTACCTGCTTGAAAGTAGGCTACTTAAACTATTTTACAGAACGCTCGCAGGAATCCGCGGAGCTCAGCGGCCCGGCTGCTTGTAGTTGCCGTTTATCTCCTCCGAGATGTTGACGGCCTCGGCTCCGAGCGGTAACCTGTCACTGTACTCGGATCCCATCTCAAACTCCTCCTGATTGGTTTTGGTCGAGGATCCCGGGATGGACTCTGTGACCACGCTCCCCTCCACTTCCCCATCTCCGTCTTCCGCCTCCCCCTCTCCCTCCTCCTCACCTAACTCGCTGGGGTTGAAGGTTTTCTCGGAAACTGCGAAGGACGCCCTGGGATCAAAATCTCTGGTTTGTTTCTCTATCTGATCCGGGTTCTGAGCCTTCATTATCAGCTTGTAGGTCTTTCCTTGGTATTTGTACAGTAAATGGCAGCAGGTTGCTCCCAGCAAGGGCACCGTGGCTAAACCCAGTAGGAAAATGCTGACCACCACAATGATAAGCAGGGAGGGGATCTTTTTCCTGGTTGTGAAGACGGCTTGGACATGGCAGTCCTGCCCCCCATAGGTGAGACAAAGAGTGTAATTGGTGCCAGGTTGTAAACCATGGAAGTGGTAGGTGTTAACCCCCTCATCTATATCAGACCACTGAACGATGGAGTGTCCGTTTCCTTTATCTATGCATAAATAAAGCCTGTCCAGAGGTACCTTACTGGACGCAGACTGCAGTAGCCCCACAGGCTCTTTGTTCACCGTCTCCTGATCCTCAGAATGACTGAGATGGAGGTTAGATTTGCTGCTGGAAAACTGCAGTGGATTCAGCTTCACTTTGGCCTCCGTCTCCGAAACCTCTAACGCAATGACGCCAAAATCGAAGGTGTACTGCTTCAAGTTTTCCAAAGTCATGTTGAAGGCGTGGTTGGAGATGTATTCACTGCTATCTCTCACGCCGCACTTGCTTGCGAAGGTGGGGTCCTTAGCGACACCTTCGGCCAGCTCCTTGTCGACCATTTTGCCTTTGGAGACGTCATAGCTGCCCTTTGTCTTTTCATTGTGCTTGGCCCAGTCGATCACGTTGTTCTTGAGGACTTTGGGGTCTGCGGGCTTTTTACTGGATGGACGGATTCTGTCCACGGTTGAATCAGAGATTGAGTTGCTTCCTTGTTCTTGGACGGCTGCCAGAGCCACTCTAACGCTGGTCTCTGCCTTACCTAATTCATTCTCAGCAGAGCAGCTGTAATTTCCATCCTCCTTTTTACTCAGGTGAGGGATGATGATGGTGCCGTTGCCAAAGACGAGGAATCTGTTGTTGGTTGACTTATCGTTTACCGGCATCTCGTTTACGTCTCCAGAGGGGGACAAGGGGAACCGATGGTTTTGATTCCCTGCAGATATCTCCCAGCTGATCTGTGGCTTGGGACTTCCTCTGGCCTCACAATTCAAGATGACGGAGACACCTTCGGATAGCTCTGTGTTTTCTACGTTTGGCTGATAGGTTATTGTGACCGTCGGGGCTTCACATTCCAGTTTGGGGATGTTTGTGACCAGCACTCCTTTCAGAGGTTCAGGGGTCTCGCACGTTATCAGATTTGGATCAGGCACAGAAGTCCTGGTGGTAGAAATCCAATCCCTCAGCCACTCCAGACTGCAGGTGCAAGAGAAAGGGTTGCTAAAAATGTAGACGTGGGACATGGAGGACAAGGCACTGAAGGTGCCCTCCACAATGGTGACGAACTTGTTGTTGTTGATGCGCAGTGACCTCAGGTCTTTGAGAGGGGAAAAGGCATCCTTCGGGAGATTCACCATCTCATTATTGTTCATTTTCAGAAACTGTAGGGCTGTGAGGTTCTGCAGATCCTCCCACGGGAAGTTGACTATTTTGTTGCCGCTGATGTCCAGGTTGCGAAGCTGATTCAGAGGGGCCAAGGTGCCCGGCTCTATAATGACGATCTCATTGTGACCCAGCCAGAGAGAGTTGACCTGAATGATGTTGTTGAAGCTTTTGCTTTTCAGAGCTTTAATCTTATTGGCAGAAAGATTCACAGTGGTGGCGTTGGAGGGGAGTTCCACAGGTACCTCCTGCAGGCCTTTGTAAGCGCAGTCCACAAACTGGTGTGAAAATTTATCCTGGCAGGTGCAGAGCTCCGGACAACACCGCACAATGCCAATCACAACCGTCCACAAGACGAGGCGCAGCAGGAGCCGGGGTGCCATTTTCTACTCCTGCAGGCATAAAAAAGGAAGCATTAAGAAAACTAAATACAAACAATCAGTAATACATCTCCACTACATTCTTTAAAAAAAACTGAATACAAATGAAAATATCGTCTAAATTGCTCAAAACAAAAGAGGAGATCGCAGAAGCAGAATGGAAATGTAGCTTTGACTGACACTGATTGCATCAGATCAAAATATCAGAGGCAAAGTTCCCTTTCTCCACATTATAGTACACAACACAACACTGCTTATGGGTTGTTCATAATAAGCATGAATGCACATATGCTTTGTGGAGACATTTCGGGGTCAGATGGACTCCTCTGTTCTAAGCACACAATCACAACAGAGTCTGCAAACTGGATCTGTCAGTGGTTTTGAAAATAATTTTTGTCTTTTTCAGTTAAAAGAGACATCTTTACTTTAATATTTCAAACTGCATTATGTTATCTTAGCCTGTTCATTTGAGGTGTATATCTAACTTTTACACACATGCTCTTCAGATTAATCGGAGGTGGAATAGGTCTACGGGATGCTTTCTCTCATCTTAGCTCGGACACTTTGGATGCCGTTCAAGTTTATTTTCCATCGGTCTAAAGTGACTGCCCCATCATCTAAAGAATCGTCTTACCTTTTTCAATGTTAACTTCAAATTCTGTCTTCTAACCCTCTCCGGGAGTTCACAGTCCTTTGAAACAAGTTTAATGGTTGAAAAAAACGGAGCCTTCGCATCCCTCGGATCCCTCCACAGGCTTTTCGCAGACCTGGACAGCGCTGAGGAAGGACGGCGGCAGGAACATTTTTCACAGCGCGTCTCTGTTTCGGTCCGTCGGTGTTTTTTTTTTTCCTCCTCAGAGAGTGTGGGATCCTCTGCGCGCTCCCGCCGCTGCGGAGCGAAACAAGAAAACGTGAACGCGCAGCCTCTCCCATCTCTCTCCTCACTATTAAAGATACAGAAGCTCCCGGTCCTCCGCCCTCAAAGAAAATTCATAATTTAGAACCCGATGTTTAATTTATCACTAATCTTTGACCTCATTCGTACTGGTGGCAGCCCTTTGTTTTTAAATAAAGCTCTCTGCCAATAGTTTCCTAAACCAATCATAGATTTAAACTAGTTGTGCCATCAAAACCTTGTTTCAAACAAACACATTTGTGGTATCTGATTTCATATTTGTTAGATAAAGCAAATAAAATTGTATAGCATGACGACATAAAGCGCCTGAACAGACGCTGAACTCAGTCACCCTACAAAGGCTCCATCTTTGCCCCATCACGTCCACATACAAACCTGGTACTATTGTGTTGCCAACACAGTTGCAAGTTGTATCCCAAATTATTTTATCTGTAGAAAACATTACAAAAAATTACAAATCTGCCAGCACTTGTTGATAGAAAATAAAACCTGCTTTTTCTTGACTGACTAAACTAAAATAAAACATATTTTCATGAGCGCACCTTTAACCTTCTGCTTATTAAGACATTTCCTTTATTTAGACGTGTGATGTAGCTCCGATTCTAAATAAATTATTCAAATTAAAACATTGTCACACAATTTATTTCCGTAACGTTTGACTCGAGAATTGGATATTTTACAAACTCCTACGTGAATACTGCCACCTTGTGGTGGACAGTGGGAGACTACTGCCAATTTCAGTGGAAGAAAGACCTTGTGGCTTCAGCAACACAAAGTGACAACATCTGTTGTCAGATTACAGTTTATCTGTAATAAGCTTCAGCACCCAGAAACAAAAGCAAGTTAGCCTCCAGATCCACATTTTATATGCAGCTTCCAAAAACAGCAACTTTATATTGTTGGTCGAAACTGTTCAGACTACATGACAACAATTGGCAGTATTCAAAGGGAATGCTGTTTTGTTGTGTAATGAAAGTCCTTTTTTGCTGCAGTGAAAGTGATATTTACATTTAACTTCAACCTATTGACTTCTGACTTTCTGGAATTAGAATAATTAATTTGGCCCAGAATTAAATCTGATATAACTGTGGCAACATATGCAGGCAGCATCCAGCATGGTGAGTGCTGGTGTACTGCTGGGAGAGGTTCCAGCCCCCTGTATTGATAAGACATGGTGATCCAAAGGGGCTGTGCAAAATGGAGAACATTAAAGGGTTAAAACCTGATTTTTGTGTCACGCTCAATGGGAGATGGATGCACATGCAAGGCCAGAAAACTGGGAACAAGGAACTCAGGGATGTGACAAAAATGACAACAGGCACATTAGGGGGGATAAGGAAGGAACCAGCAAGACACAGGAACAGATGAGACATTCTGCAAGGATCTGGCAAGGCATCAAAGAAACAGAGAGGTTTATAGGGAGAGTGATTACTGAATGAAGAGCAGGTGGGGGACCACAGGTGAGGAGTTGATTACAGCACAGGGAGGAGCCGAGAGAAGGGAAGTAGGTGGAGACGCAGGAGAAAAACACAGGAAACGAGCAAAGACACCAGAATAAAACACAAGAAACTATGGCCTTGGAAACAGAGCCATAAAAACAAATCCACAAAACCCAAATCAACAGAGCCTAAACAAAATCCCAACTCATGACATGGTGATGTTTTAAGAGATCTCCTTCATTTGAAAAAACTGTATAATGTGCAAATTTACACACACTTGGTCTGTATCTCAAAAATATTTTTTGTCTAAAAACCAAGCACAGCAGCTCCAAAAAAACTTCTTCTTAGTGTTTGGAGACTAGTGGAAATGTGAGATGGCTGATGTGGACAGGCTGGATCATTTAAGACAACTAAACAGTGAATATGTTTACATTAAGGTTTTACTAACAGACATTTAAAAACTTTCATTGAGGATCTGGTTTTAGGTTGTCATGAGCTCAGTTTAGCGAATCAGGAGCAAACCCCATTAGTTCTGTGTGACAGCAGTGACCCCTGTTGTCAAAAGGATGCAATTACAAGCAGAAAAGCTACACTTAGATCTTCAGCAAACCTGCAAATAACTTCTGATGGTATAATAACCTGCGATGGACTGGCGGACTGTCCAGGGTGTACCCTGCCTCTCGCCCGTTGACCACTGGGATAGGCTCCAGTTCCCCCCGCGACCCCATGAGGGAATAAGCGGTATTGCTAATGGATGGATGGATGGATGGGTAAATTATTAGTGAAGCTGTTTAAGATGTTTTTTTTATTTTTTATTATATTGTGTAAAAGTAAAGTAAGTTTTAAAAGGCAACCTGGATGTGATCTCTGCATGGAGCTCTGAAATGCTAAATGCTTTACTTTTCACTCAAATAGCTCCTAAACTGCACTTCCTCCTTGTGTTTATGCACTGAGCAGACACTTTTATCCAAAGCAACTTACAACGGTTGAAACATATACACGTGTATCTCCCCGTCAGGGATTTAAACCCCAGTCTCCCACGTGACAGGCGGGGAGACTTCTGGTCCCTTCTGTGAAAGATGTTTCCTGCCAGGAAAGGAAATATTAGAAACACACAGTCCAAATGCACCAAGGTTTAATGATATCAGAAAATAGCAGACACACAAGAAGGTCACAGTCCCTGATATCTCTGAGCTGAGACTGAAGCACAGCCCCTTCTTGTCTCATAGCAGCTCTATTAGATGAGATACCAAGCATGCCTTGTTTAAGTTGTTCAAGGAGAATCCTATCAGGGATTCTTAGTTCGTATGAAGGCCAAATTCAAGGCTGCTATGAGATCGTTTTTTTGTTTTCTTTCCACAGCATGAGCTAAAGGCCTAGAGGAAATGCAAAAGGGGCGGTTCTACCAATACCTCTTTAACAAATAACCAAACCTATAAAGTTATATAACGGGGCATGAAGGTGTTGTTCCAGCTACACTGTAACATCTATTTGCGGGCAACCATTCACAGGTCATGTACGGTTTGTCACGGGAGATAATTGGCTGATGAGTCAGGTCCAGCTTAAGCCAAAAGCTCCTCATTAAAGTGACCCAAGTCTGACAGCGGGACCTGCTGCGCTATGCAGCGATCCCCCAGCTCCACTGTAAGAGCATCTGTTTTATGACAGAACGTCAACACAACAAAGAGTCTGTGGGATTTTGTGAACCCTGTGGCCAAGTGGCTAGACAGAAAAGTCTGCTGAAGGGTGGAGTCTGCCCCCACAAAACCACACATGCTATCACCAGGATGGGGTCGCGGCCTGAGCATTAAATAACCACTGTTTTATACAGCGTGACATTCGTTTTAAGTTTCTTTGGAAACAGAATGGGGCGTTTGGGTCATTACTATCTGTTGTGTCTTGGGAACCAAGGAAGTTAAATCAAGATAAAGGCTCTCCCAGGACTGTCTGCACTCTTATCGGTCTGCTAACCTTATCATTTACTAAGTGTTTGGACCAAAGGGATGGTCAACCATCACGGAGTCAAACACATAAAAAAGCCTTGAATGGATCTGAGAGAGAATTGGCTGAAGAATTGAGCCTATGATCTTCTCCAGTAACAAGTAATCATTCGTAGTCATATGTATTCATTTGATATTTATTTAAGGAAGATTTTAAGAAGAACAGTGTGCCAATGTGTCCATGTCAGAAGGAATAACATTTTTATGACACAGAAATTTCTAGTATGAAAAAGAAAAAACACTTCAAAATATCAGTTACTGCCATGTTTCTGAAATACATGTTACTCCATGTAAAATAAGAAATAAAACTGAAATAAAGAGCATATTAAATGGTAAAATCATGTCTGTTTAGTCATTGTGTTAATATTTGCGATGTTTCAAATGGTTTCATACATGTTCGATAATATGTTCCATCATGCCTTCTTTTGACACCTTAACTTCCTTTTTCAATCAGGCAGAAGTGTTTTTCCTTTCCTGCTTATCAGCAGTTCAAGGCCTCATTGAAGATGTTTCTTGTTTGATAACACCTCTGTACTGTATCCGGACTCTTCATTGGCCAGAACCATGAGGCCATGACACAAGCTGAAAGTACTTTGGCATCATGTGGCATAAGCAAGCCAGACATTCCATAAAAACACTCCCAGATCTTCATTTGAGCCTTGTTCTAGACAATAATATCCTCTAACTATTTGCAGATGTACACTGAGAAAATCAATTAGCTTTGAAAACTGCATCTTGCTTCTGAAAACGTGTTGCTGGAAGAAAATCCAAACTTTAACACATTAAATACATAATATTTTATACATAAAATAATTCAATTTAATAGTTTTAATAACCGAAACAAAAAGTTCAAGTAATGCTTTACAGATATTTTAAAATACAATTTTATGTTACACTCCAAATCACCCTTTCTAGAAAAAGGTTTGTACATAAGGTTGTATGATGGGCTGGTGGACCGTCCAAGGTGTACCCTCTTGCCCATTGAATACTGGGATAGGTTCCAGTCCCCCCGTGACCCCTTTTTGGAAAAATCAGAGCCAAGAGGCACAGTCCATCGCAGGGCCACACAACCAAACACACTCACTCCTAAGAGTAATTTGTCCAATCAACCTAACATGCAGGTTTTTGGAGAACCCATTTAAACACAGGGAGAACATGAAAACTCCACACAGAAGGGTCCTGGTTCCCCCGGGGAATCGAACCCAGGCGATGGTGCTAACCTCCACACCACCGTGCCTCCCAATATTAAACATGTTTAAATCAAATAATAAACATCTGATAGGAAAAGAGGTGTCAAATGCTATCTTAACTATGGCGTTTAAAGGCACAAAAGTTAATCTGATAATGCTCAAGTTTTTTTTGCTTGGTGTAACTACAGTGTGATTTTTAAAGGGTATTTTGCTTTTCTTGAGCAAGTGGCTAGTCCAGGGTGTGTTCCACATCTCACCACTGGAGAGGATTCCAGCCCAGCCTTCTCACAGCTCAGTGTTTTGTTTCAGCCAATCCAAACATCCAACTAGTCAAACTAAATTTCAATAACAGATATGCAAGCAGTAATCTGGTGCTAACATATCTTTTGTGTACATTTTGTTTTATTAATGCATATCAAGATGCAATTTACTCTGCTGATAAATTTTAGAAATTATAAATTTTTCAAACATCTCTCTTAGCTTTCATGTTCATTATGAAAACATTCTGCGGGTGTTCCCAGGATGTTCATCGCAAAAGAATTTCACCGCCTTCCTCTTCTGTCATTCTCCGCAGAAAAGAATGTAATGTTATGAATGATTATGTCATTTCTTTCTATAATGATTAGCTAATGCATTTCAGGAAATTAGGCCTTAATGACAGACCTCAGCGCTCCGCTGGAGATCAGGTTTCCTGCTTTTACCCCTCAAACAACTCTTCCTGTTCTAGAATCTGTTTTTAAAAAAATATTCTAAGCAGTTGAGGTTGTTTTGGGGGCCTTTCCCACCAAGCACAGCTCACAGTCTCACGTGCAGAAATACGTCCCCTGCAGGGGGACTTAAGCTGTTTCTCAGATTTTGAGGGGGCTTCCTCTTGAGGTGCATCCTGACTGAGCAACGACAAATTCAGTGTCTCGACAGCTAGTATGTGAAATATGACTACTCAGAGAAAAAGCTGAGGAAGGTCTAGATGATTATCCGCACAGATAAACTTCCCAACACGATTGCAAACTGTAGCGTGATCCACATCATCTTTGGAACAAGACCTGAGGCTTTGTTCTGGGAAAAGCTGGGATCAACTGTTTTCCTGTTTTCGTTTTCAACAGGAATGACCTGCTCCATAAGCTGATATTCTTTCACCACTTTGGTATAGTTTTTCTCTCTGGAGATGCAGATATAGTTTCCATAGTTTTGTTTTTCCATGGAGGGAATAAAGTGCAGACAGTTGGAGAGCATCTGCAGGCAAGGGCTGCTGTGCCCCTCATGCTCCCAGGTGTACACAGCGTGGTAAGAGTCTATAGGGCAGGACATGTAGAAAGGGAGGCCCCCGGGGATGGAGTGGACTAGCCGTAAATGCCGCGCTGATATTTCTTCCCGTTTGTATCGTTTCAGAGGCATTTGTTCTGAAAGATGATAAAAGAAAGATGTATTAGAAACAATAAAACAAGAAGTACAAATCAAAGTCAGCACAGGCATGCAATCAAAGCTCATAGCATGCGTCAGAATGTTTCAATAGCTGCTCTCTGCTTGCATTCAGTAAATCATGACAGATTGACAATAAAAATGACAGATTTGTTTGTCGTCTTTTAAAATAGATCAGATCCATGCTTGTGGATTTCATCTAAATAGCCATAAACCCACAAGCACTAATCAACAAACATTTAAACGGGGAGATACAAATTAAACTTCATGTGCACATAAAATGTAGAAGACCAACAAAACCATCACCACAGAGTTATGTATTGTGTGTTGTGCATGTTGTGGCAGTCATGTCTGCTTTGTCTTCAGTACCGTTCACTGCTTCATTGCACACACTTATTCCTCCATCCACTATATTCTGAATCCCTCCACTGTGAACAGAGCCAAACACACAGAATGCAGTTAGTCTTTGGAGAGATTTACCGCTTTTTTTTCTCATTTTCCAGAGTAAGTGAGTATTTTCTTAAAATGAAACCCTTATAAATGGTGTCAAAGCAAATCTTGCTTGGAAAGGAGCTCACACTTACCGGGTAGTGGGGGTGCATCCTGAAGCAGTCCAGGCACAGTATGGATCTCGTGCCAGGACACAATCAGCGCAGGAGCTGTTGTATTCTTCACATCTCTGGAGGTCAACCGTTGATATTTTCTCCGAAAATCCCACAATTAACTTTTTCTGAGCAAATTAAATCAAAAGTTTAGTTCAAACCATCATCACATCAGGAGGTAAGATGGAGGGGCGGGGGTTTGGGGGCTGTGGTCTTTTCCAGCAGTCCTCAGGGGAGAGGACAGGTCACCAGTATTCACAGAATCCTTCATTTGCATATTTTCATGTTCTAATAGCCACATTCATCTGCTTCTGACATTGTTGTTTTTGTGTGTGAAACAGCTCTTCAGGAAAAAACAACTGACTTTTTGTTTAAATGCGCCACCTTTGCACCATATTTGATAGCCGACTGTCTCTGTGTCTGCATTATCAAAAAGTGCTCTGTCTCTTTCCGTGCTGTAAACAGCTGCCAGATGATAACAGTGCCGGGAATAACACTGAGGACAAGGACCATTGAACAAAAGCAACCTGATGAAAGACGTTCTGACGCTTTACACATCTGATCCACCATTTCTATGAACATATATTTCACTTAAGCAGCAGCTGACGCAAGTCACGACGTGTCACAGTTAGATAGCACATTTCCAATGAAGCTGTACCTTTTTAGAATCAAGCTTCATTGCTTGTACGGTCGAGTTGTTAGAGAGTTGTGTTTCAGAAATGATGAAAGGCTGCGATCCAGCCTCTAATACTTTATGGATCTTCCCAGAATCTGTAAAGACAGCAATATGATACGATGCTATTATTTGACTGACACTGCAGGTTAGGTATTTCGAGCCCATTGTTCTTAGCAGACACTATCCATATTACATAAAACAAAGCAGACACGATTATGATAATCTAGTTCTCAGCTCTGTGTATGTGGGGATGTTCTCTCAGCCTTGGCCTACCTGTAGCCAGGAGCAGAACGTTATACGTCTGCTGATCTGCAGCTTGCACTTGATCGACAGCGATCTTTGTGTAATTGTTGCCACTTATGTAAAACGGAGCTGTGTAATGAAGGGAGTGTACCCAGTCAGTCATTTCTGGATGGTCCTTTACCACACTGATAGTAGACGGCGGCAGGCTTCGACTGTTCTTGACACACTGAAAAATATAAAGACAAAGTTTTCTCACAAAATGTTATATCACACCTAGCTGGAAGCTTTCCAAAATACACTTGAATCACTCCCAGCAAAATCCAATGATCTGCTTAGACAAAGGTTGAACTGTTAAGGCATAAGGATTAAAACTCTGAGCTTCACCTCATGAAACCAGGTGCACAGTCAAACAAGGTAAAGGGAGGCATATGCTATGGTGAGACTTTCAAGAAGAGAAAGCAGTATATTCAAGAGCTCATTCTCAATTCAAAGATCACAATTCAATCAATTACTGGAAATACCTGAGCAAGTCTGTACTTTAACACCCCCATGGATTAACTCAAATTATTTTTCAAAATGAATGGGAGAAAATACCAGAGGAAAGGTGTTCTAAACTTGAAGGCTTTTTCAAAAGAAGCCTTGAAGACGAAATGGTTGCAAGGACATAGTGAGGTTCAAATGTCTTGAAATGTTTAGTTTTTTTCCAAAAGCATCCAAAGTCCTGTTTCCTGGTGTCCTGGAGCAGCAGCAATGTGGCATGGTGACCATACTCATTTGCTTTTGTTTAGATAGAGCAAGGATGGCTCTATTTGGACAATTCTGCCATTTATTCTGTGTTAGCATGGGTTTCTTTGTATATAAACAAATAAAAAAGATGGATTTCAGGTATAACCCAAACAGATGTAAAGCAAGGTTGTTTTTTATTTTTAACAAAGTGTGGAAACGTGCACCTCGTATGAGGTAAATTCTCGATGATTAAGTTGTTTACGAGAAGGAAGGAAATTCTTCTATGCATAGAGCATTCATGAACCCTTTTAGCTCCCAAACATGAAGAGAGAAAAAATAGACGAGGGGAACAAATGGGAAGTGGAAACAATAGACATGCTGAAGTTATTTAGAAACACTTTAGCATGTTTCCAACCATTTGTGCACAATGTCAGCTGTTCCCCCCCAAATACTAAACATGCAACATTCAAAAAGGCTGTCTATGGCATGTGTGAGTGAAACCAAAATAGACCTACAAGAATAAAACAAATACAGGAACTTCGGTCTATGCAACGCAACATAGCAACAAAACAGAACCTCACCGTTCCAGGCCTCGGTATGGGGATCTCTTCTTTATAACCCCTGAAGGTTGAATTCTCAAATATCTGTTCAATCATTTCTATTGAATAAATGCAAACAGCTGTGGAGTTCCTGAAACAGAAATCAGACACGTTAAGTTACCAAGACGCTATCATTGTTACAGTTATCTATTATTGTCAATGCCTTGATTATTGATTGGATAACTCAGTTCAAAATTAAAAATGATTCTATGTAGATGTGCTGTTGTAACCTGCTGTTTTTGGATCTTGAGCAATAACTAAAGCCCATGCCCGTAATGTTATGTTTGGTCCTGTCAATGTGTTCCTCATGTTGTTGCTATGTTTTTGAAAATGGAGGAAGAGAAACTGTCGCACCAACTACTTGTGAAAAGTGCATAGACTCTTGTGTCATGCCAGTCTTCTGCGTGCATCACATAGATGTCTTGGAGACGGTTGAAATATAGTGACTCCTCTGGAAAGCCACAGACGAGCCGAGCCTTGAGAAACGATGTCCACATGTTCTGGAAGAATCTTTTTGATCCGCCTTCATCTACCTGTTAAAACGATACCAGAAAGATGCTATTTCAGTGCTCTTGAATGTTGTGAACTATGAGTTATTTGATGCTACTGACTCTTCAGCCCCGTGACAACACCAAGTTTGTTTTTTGCTGTGGTGTCAGAACTTACATCCGGCTTCTAGAACAGTTGGCCGGCTTAGTTCATTAAATGAGCTGACATCTAATTTGTTCCTAAGGCATTCCTGCCTGACTGGTAGAGCTGAGAGGGGAAAGGTTTCTGCTCTGCTACTATTCCCTCAGTGATGACACTTTGCGCTAACAAAGGAAACTGTGGGAAATCTTGATCTTAAACTGTGAAATCAACCAAGAACGAGAGCGTAATAAAAACAGTCCCAAACTGGACTCAAACTCCTATCGGCCTGAATAAGTAAAAACGTGAACATCAGATCCTGGAACTACTCAGACACTGACAGACGGCTGTTGTTTGCCAACACACAGGGCAGGGAAAGCTCTAAGATGTGCGCCAAGTGCTTATAAAGCTTTCTGTATTAAGACAATAAAGCAATGAATTGGTCTGCAAAGTGCTCTGTATGTAGCTTCGGCATGCAACAGTGCTTTTTCCCTCTCTCACACCATATTAATTATTCAGACAGTTAATGCAGACAATTCATTACGAATTTCAGAATTATGCCAAATAGAGACGGGGCTGGTTTTACACATTTATATGGGTTCTACTGGAGAATCGAGAGAACCCAGAACAGCCGAAAAATAATAATAAAAAGGGAAGCTTGCTTGGAATAATGGTGTCCATCCCTCTAATAGACAGACACACGTATAAGCCCTACTTAAGCTATTCTGGCAGCACATGATGGAAAAGCACTTTATAGAGAAGCTTTATTTCAGTTGTCTCCCCATTTGTCACATGTCTGTTACGTCCATATCACTCAAACACAATTTGGCTGCTGAAGCTAAGCAGAAATGACTTTGGTCGTTTAGCCATCCGCATCACTCATCTTTGCCCGTACATACCGAGCTTTCTCTGCTGTTGATCATACCTTACAAATTCTGGCAACCCGAGATATCCAGGGATCAGCTTCCGGGCTGTGATCGGAGTTTTTTTCCCAGAAAAAGAGATATATTTTTTCATTTTCAGGGTCATCTTTCCGCTTTACCCAGGATGCAGAGATGAACGTGGGCTCTGTAAATAGATAGCATGTTTACTAAACCATTCAACCATTTCATTTACAGAGTGGTGATGGTAAACTACACAAGATGATTACGACAGCACGGCCAGACTAAATATTTGACCTGGGACTGGGCAGCAAAATGAGCTATGATTTCTAACTTGAATTGTAGGACCCAGTAAATGAAGCTGTCAAACAGCAGTTAACAACCATGTTTGTCTCCACTTAATGTATGTAATGAAATACCCGGAAGGAAACTAATAACATGCATTACGTGCATCTAAGCTGGGCAAATGAAGCCTTGAGGAACAGAAAAATCGTTGGCATAACCATAAACGATCACAGGGATGTTGCTGTGACGAACCTGGACATTCAAAAATGGTCGGTGTCACAAACTCCCATTCAGGCTTTCATTTCTGATCATTTCTGACAAATCCTGATCAGTTAGTTGAGTTATGACCAAACTAAGGTCGTGCTGACATTAAATCTTTTGACTACCAAAATGCAACTAACTCAATATTACTTGGTTTGTGGGTATGTCACAATTGTTGGGATATTCTTATTCCTATTGTTACTGATCAACAGTGTTGTTCTATCTACTTTACAAATAACCTCCCTCACCCAGCACCCAGTTGTCATACATCCAGCAGTTTGTTCTGCCGCCAGCTTTTCTTCTGAACTGCAATGAACTCCCATCAAAATTCAAAGGTGCTGCTGCATAGAGATCTCCATCTAAAAAATAAAAACAGGGCCGTGCCGCATTAAAAGGAGCATTGCAGCATGTAATTATGTGTAATTATTTACAAGGTTCTTGGGAAAATGCATTTGCTTGACAGATCTGCTTTTATCGTGACATGATACAAATCTGCACGTTCCGGAGTCACTTTAACAGTTATTTATATCTATACGGTACTTAGCAAACCTGGAATCAACGTACCCACAGTCAGTGACAGGGAGTTCTGAGTGTAGACAAACGGAGAGATCCCTGTCCCCTCGTAGCTCTCCACTATTTCGTGAGACTGATTCTTGACTGAAGGAAACTGCACAGAAAGTCAAAGAAACCAGGGAAATGTCAACAGCAAGCTGTATTGGAAAAAGCCATAAAAAGTAGCACTACAGACACCGAACACTCTACTTAATTATACAACAGGGCACGCAATTAAAGTTTAATGAGAATGACACCAATCCTGCCTTTTAATCAGCTTCATGCCCGTCACAAAAAAACTGCAGTGTCACACAAATGAGGTGTGTTTTTCAAAGCATTTAAAAGGTACTTACAAGTTTCCAGCACTGTGGCTTGTTTCCGTTGGTACCGCAGACAAACAGACTGTCCTGAAACGTCTCAATGACGGTGATAACATTTTCACAGAGACCCTGCAACACAGAAGCTCTTATTAGACTAAACTGCGTCACAGCTATATTTAGAGAAAAAAAACACTATCAACTTAATTTAACTTGCAATCACTAACCTCTGGGCACTGCTGCCGCCCTGTCGTATTCAGATAATATTTCTGTCAGAGACATGAATTGGGGACACATTTTTAGCACTTTAAAATAAATACAAAACAATCCTTTAAAGCTCAACTAAAGATTATTGGTGATTATATATAATAATGTACCTGGATTGTAGATTAGCCTAAAAATACCTGAGACTTATATTAGATTTATTGCCTTGCTTTCTCAGAGCATGCTGCTGAAGATGTCCTAAGTCCAATCAAATAAGACCAAATAAGACCTACTCTCCCCGGGATAGTCTGTACTCCATTGCCTAATTATAGTTCAGAATATAAATAAAACACCATAGATTTGATGTCTGTGGGCACCGACCCCTTCCGACCCAACCATCTGTTACTACCGTACAGTGTACAGCAAAAACACTGTAACAGATGGTTTGCTTCTAAACAAAAAATATTCCGAAATCAAGCTTGAAATTACATAAAAAACTACAGAAAGACTTAAAGTAAACACGAGAAAAATGTGCAACGGACAAAGGGATCACTGAACCTAATTTCAACAATCCAAAAAAAAGGTTTTCAGAGCGCTTCAGTCCAGAAAACTCACCTCAATAATGCGACAGTCATTCACATCAAGTTTTAATACGAAGTCAGTCCCACCAACAAAAAGCTCGTCTGAGTCTTCATGATAAGAGAAAACGCTGTGGATCTGGTTGACTTCATACCGAAGCCCAGCTCTGAGTATTTCTAAGAGAAGAGGTCATATTATCACACGTTTAGTCCACAGATCCACACACTCAGCGATGCTCAGCGTGTTGAAAATAAAATAGTTCGAAAACCTAAATGCACACTGTCCTCTACGATTGGTTTAAATCGGCTGGCCACACAAGCTTAGAAAAACACAGACAAAAACAAACAGCAAACGTACCTTTACTGAGAAATCTGGGAGTATTTTTAGAGCCCAGAGTCGGTGTATCCTTCACTCCAAAAGCAGGTAGAAACCCTGCAGCCAAGCCGAGGCAAATGTAAAGGAGCCCCATCATGTTTTGCGGAGATGTCCCATCTTCTGAAAAATGGCGAGCGTGATTAGGAGCGCGCTGGAGGCGTGAAGCGCAGGTCAAACGCCCAGACTGATAATCCCGCTGACACCGGCTGAGCTCCTAAACACAGGCTGACCCTCATGACAATGCGAACAACTAACTAGATGCCCGCTGCTGACTCAACCGGAATACGTAACACTCAGATACCAAGACCCAAAATAAATGCGTAAAAGGAAACGGATATAGTCATCGATCGAAAACCGGTACCTTTACTCATGCAGCGTTTGATGCTCACTATTACACAAAATGCACCTCACTTCTCTTAACATTTGTTAACATTTGTCTTAATTCCTAATCAAAACTACACACACGACATAGTGAGAAGAGTCAATAGTGACATCTGATTGATCAAAATACATGTTGAAATCATTGGGCAAGACTCAATCCTCTACTGTAAAGGTTATGTTTGCTCAGCTGTGTTTGATTCAATCAATCATCAGAATCACAATCAGAAAGACTTTAATAATCCCAGAGGGAAATTATCTAAGATATTAGATCTTATGTGTACTCTTTAATGATAAACCATAAATATGAAACTCATCGGCATGCAATGTGCTTAACCTTTCCACCCAGCAGATCTAAAGGAGCTGATGCTTATGCTGGAAAATACTAGACACCACAAAATAATAAAGATTGCTTCTACGATTAATTGGGGACTCGTAGGAGACATAGGGGAGTGTGAGCAGTGTGTCACTATAAGTGATGGTCAAATCTCTGCTTGAAAACCTGGCTGTTTCCTTATCTGGAATGTTCCTGAAGCAACATTTCCATCCTTGGGTGATTTATTTCCTTTTCCTCATGCTCACCAAACATTCGTCATGTTTAAAACTGGTGTTACAAAGAATTCCTCCTTTATCTTTTATTTGTCTGGTAGCAGTAATTCTATGGGAGTTTTAGACCAGCCCATACAAGTGACCCAGCCTCTTTTTTAAAAATAAATAAATAGATAAATACGTTTTTCAAATGTAGAAAATAACTTGTTGGTGAATAAAATATATGGCTAAACAAGTTACAGTTGATGGAGACTTCAGGTCTTTTGTCAGCTGTGCTGCGTATTACCCACCTCTGGGTTTCCATCTGGGTGACCTTTGTAAAAACACAACATACTTTTGGTTAAGATAACAGAGATTGACTGTGTGAAAATTCCTGTTCTGCCAGTTACCTCTCTTATTATTAAAAGGAGAAAAAAATAAAAAAGGAAAACAATAAAAAAGGAAAAATAGCAAATGAATCCTTAACAATTAAGATAAAAAAAAACATCTGTTAGTTAAAAATGGAGGTAATAACAAAAGAAATGCATCTTCAAGGACTTCCCATATCTTCAGGTCTTAGTCATTTGCATAATCCAACTGTAAATGCAAGAACCTTTTTAAATATTCCATAATTTCTGATTTAAATCAGATTTAATACGCTCGGTCAAAAAGGCCAATCCAATTAGCTGCATCAGGACCGTCACATGGTCACATGTCTGAGCTCACGCGCCCCGCCCTCTTGTCACAGCATGTCCAATCAGCTGCGAGAAAGAAGCCGACACTTCCTGTTCTCTTTCACGGACGACGATGGTAAACACTTTAATCATTATCATTTTGTTTGTTATATCTCGTATGCATAAGGTTCATGTGGTTTAGATAATGATATATTTGCATTATTTATGTATGCCTAAAGCTACAATTTAATTGGACAAAGGCGGTGTTGAAGGGTTGGCAATGTGTAGCTAGCATGCAAAGCTAATAGGCTTTAATGATGAACATTTAAGATCAACGATAGTGTGAATGCAATGTCTTATGTTTCTGTCCAGTAGTTTGTTCTTATGCGATTCTGTCTGTGCTGCAGCGGTTTCGTTTCTGTGGAGATTTGGACTGCCCTGATTGGGTACTAGCCGAGATTAGCACATTAGCAAAAATAGTAAGTGGACCTCACATACACTCAAACAGCAATTCTGAGTTAAGTGACCATTAACGTGGATTTTTTCTATACTGATGAGTTTGTTGTCTTTCTCACTGATTAACAGTCAAGCGTCAAAATGAAACTGCTTTGTGCTCAAGTATTAAGGGATTTACTTGGAGAGGGTATTGATGTGAGTAGCAAAACAACATTTCATAAAGTTATTTAATGTTGGCTACACATACAGATCAATGCTGTTCTCTGTCTTCCCTCTTTCAGTATGACAAAGTTGCCAAACTAACAGCTGATGCAAAGTTTGGTAAGAATCCCTCACACAGATACTCCTTGATTCTTAATATTTACTTTTTAGGTTAAAGGGGCACTTCCTATGTCAATAAAAGCACTTTTAAAGGGGTTGAAAATACAACGTAGAAAGCTGCATTGTGGTAAAATTAATCAAAATGACCAAAAAGGTAGTGGTTATTATTGTCATCACATCCATTGGGTTTTTCAGAGGCAGAATCAGACTTTGCAAAGAAGAGATCAGACTCTTTTGAGATATACAGATTCAGAGCAACATTTGCTGACATCCTGTTTCAGGGGAAAACTTGCCTATTAATAAAACAGATCAAAACTATTTCTCCACAACAGCATAACTAGGCTTTCAGAGAGACCGTGCTGGAGGGTAAATATGTGTCAATGAACAAGCTTGTGGTAGGTTGTCTTACAATACAATAGCCCTTGTTAAGCCATTCTCTAAGTAAATAGATGCTGATACAAGCTGTTGCATTTCCCGTTGTACGTGTGACATCAAATCCTATGTTTGATTATTTACTAGTGAAAAATGTACATAAGCATACATTTTCTTGCAATGTAAAATACAACTTGTCATTGAATTCTACAAGCTTGCTCATTCTGACACACAATTACCTTTATGAATGGGTGCTTAACTGGCCTTGCTGAATGGAGAAGCCGTTTGCTACAAGTGCTCGCCTAAAGTATTTTAGCAGCATTGCTTTTTCAATATATCATCACAAAATGCTGATGTGCTTGCAGTGACATTCTGTCCAATGCTCCTCTTTACTGTTCACTGATTCCCCTTTCAGAGAGTGGAGACATCAAAGCGAGCGTGGCTGTGCTCAGCTTTATTCTGTCCAGTGCAGCGAAGCACAATGTCGACAGTGAATCTTTGTCCAGTGAGCTGCAGCAGCTTGGTCTACCTAAAGGTTAGTCCTGATGGTTTTTCCTGGGCTGTTGTTGGACTGTGTTGCTGGAGCAGCTGTAATGAAAACTCAGACCTCGTCATGTGCTCAATGTTTGTGACCAGAACAATTACAGACTGGTCACTCCATTATTGAAAATGTCTGTATAAAGTGTAAAAAAACATGTGCGCTTCATATTTTTAATGATAGGTTCTTGAACAGACAAGTAGGGCTCGTATAAAATAAAGATTTGTTTTGTTTTTTTAGAACACACTACAGGGCTGTGCAAGTCATATGAAGACAAACACTCAGCACTTCAAGAGAGACTCCGGGAGACCAGCCTGAGATGCAAGTGTTTCTGCGTGTCTTGCTCAGTTATTTTTGATGACGAATGCTGTCTGCTACAAAGAGTGAGTGCTGACTTAAGGCCGCCCTTTATTCTGCATTGTAATGACTTTCAGTGGGCCGACTGGACTCTGTGTCCTGGCGCGTTGACTACACACTCAGCTCCAGTGAGCTGATGGAGGTGAATGAACCTTTGATACAGCTCAAACTGCAGACACAAGGAGCACAGCCGGGCTCCACAGAGACTACGATTGTCTCCGTCTCTGCCGACAAGTTCAGAGTCCTGCTTACTGGTCAGTGCTGCCTCCGGCTTGTCAGTTCATTATTATTTTCTCTCTTTAATGTACTCATCTAACAGCGTGTGGTTGTGTTTTCACAGAGCTCAAACAAGCCCAGGCCATGATGAATGCGCTACAGTGACAGTTGATGAACCGATTTCTGATCAAAATGAACCTCCAGAAGTGCCATAATTGTATATTGTATAGTATTAACTACTCTGCTGATTTTAATAATCTCAAATGTTAAATGAAAGCGCATTACCGACTTGAATGTGCAGATGTTTAGTTTTTCTACCATATTTGCAATAATTGGCAGAAATGTGTCCAGGTGGTGTAATTAGTCTCTGAATAAGTACATTATGGTTGTATTTTGTAAAATGCTAATAATGTGTCATTTGAGTCGTTTTTCTTGGAATTGTATTAATAAAGAATGTGTTTTCACCTGCATATGAGCACATAAAAACACTAAGCTTATGGCTCCATACATTTTCGGCCCCGCCTACAATTCCCATGATGCATCAGCGCGATGAAACGCACTGGAGCTGCAAGCACAAGCCACCGTCTGATACGATTGCTACAAAAATGCCTTTGTATATTGTCCTCTAGTGTTTCCGTGTATTACCACACAGCTCGTTTCCAGATGTTATGAACGTGGAATTGCACGTTGAGTTGAGGGAGGGATGTCTCGCGACATTTTCACCTGACTCGCACACGGTGCTTACACAACCTATTCGGTAACACACTCATGTTGCGAAATTCATAGGGCTGCCGCTGGTTCTCCACTGGACAGCAGCATACACACATAGGTTTATCTGCATGAGTGTATGGCAGCTTTTTGGAGAAACACACGCAACGTGAGACTGAGTTCCATTTCCTGATCTGGGTAAGTTTGTGCACGGGACAGTGCGTACAGATACAGATTTGTTTTGATGCGTGCGATGCACAAAAGGAAGCCTTCTTGTAGGGTTACATATGCACACACACATTCACTCAGTGGTAAAATGATGTTCAGTGTTACTTATTCAAGTTATAAACTTTATGAAGTCACTGCATTTACTTATCTGCATCGTACTTTGCCAGGGTTTTGGATTCAGGTGAAGCTGGATGAAGAATGTTCATTGCATGACTGGAGTGGTGTTGACTATATGCAGTATACGGCCCTTTGTAGATTTCAGAGATGCATTTACCACAAATTGTGAAAAAAACATTTCCTACAGAATAAAGTCTTTTTTGTTTCTATGATATAAGTTGGGCTGTGTTCTGTTGTCATTGTTTTGATGAAATCGAAAATCCCAAACTTTTCTTTTTCTCTTTGTAGTTGAAGTCTCATTAATTACTGCAAAATGCCGGAGGGACCAGAGCTGCACCTGGCCAGCCAGTATGTGAATAGGATGTGCGATGGAGTGGTGTTCAGTGGACCGGTCACTAAGTCTGAGGTCAGCAAGAGCCCTGAAGTGCCCTTCACCTGTGAGGCGTACCGCATCACGGCCACTTCCAGAGGGAAGGAAGTGAAGCTCACGCTGACCCCCATCAAGAGCGATGATCCCAAACGGAGGGGAAAGGGTGGACAAGCAGACGGACCCATGGACGTCGTCTTCCGCTTTGGGATGTCGGGTTATTTCCGCCTCACTGCAGAGGATGAGCTGCCCAAACATGCCCATCTGCGTTTCTACACCAAAGAGAAGCCCTGCAGGGTGCTGAGCTTTGTAGACGCACGCAGGTTTGGGAGCTGGCAGCCCGACGGGATGTGGCAGCCCGACCGAGGGCCCTGCATCATGTTTGAGTACAAAAGCTTCAGGTTAGTAAAGCAGACATTCAGCACGCCTCATCCGCACAACCACGGCCTCGCCCTGATGAAGTCCAAACTTTGTTTCCAGGGAGAATGTTCTGTCACACCTATCTGATCGGGCTTTTGACCGCCCTATCTGCGAAGTGCTGCTGAATCAAAAGTACTTCAATGGAATCGGGAACTACCTTAGGGCGGAAATCCTTTACAGGTAATGAATGTGTGTGGATACAGAAACATATTTTAGAGATCTTTTTGAGCTCCCATAGTTTGAGTATTACTGGGTGTGGTGTAGTGACCCATTTAAAAAATGACCTCAAGGATGGAACAATGTGCTTGTTTTAAACCACTCTCTTGACTATTTAACAGCTAGTGGAGGGCGGGTCCACTGACACATTAGGACAACAGTAAATAATGTCAGATAGAAATAGAGTTTGTATGATGTGGTGTTCCTGTAAAGCATTTAACAAGAAGGCTGGCCTTGATTTTTGTCATGGGAAAAGACCCAAAACAATAAACCTTATTCTCTCGAGTCTCCCTGACATACACAATAGATACTTTCTCAATATGGTTTCTTTAGAGACAAAATTACTTTTGTTTAGTAAAACAATGGGCCTACTCTGCATTCTTTATCCCAGGTTGAGTATCCCACCCTTTGTAGCTGCACGGGCTGTGCTTGAAAGTCTAGATGTGGATGATTTGCTGGAGGAAGAGAAACCTTTGAAAAATGAAATGCTGGACAAAAAGGTGAAAGATCCAAGATACAGATTTTTTAAAAATCAGCCGTTTAAACAGACAATGTAATTTCTAATGTATATGATTTTATTTCCCTGTGTAAAGATTTCCAGAGGAGCTAAAAAGAAAGGAGTGGAACAAGAGATGGGGGACCTGCTCAGGCTTTGTCACACAGTACCTCTAGAAGTGGTCAGTCTAGGTGGGTCTGTCGGTGGTCACCACCTGATCCAACCATGAAAAGCATAACATAGCTAGTTTGTGACATATTTTATTTCTTAGGTGGTAAGGGCTACGACCCAGAGAAAGCAGACTATTCCTCCTTTCAGGCATGGTTGCAGTGCTACTATGTGGATGGAATGAAATCCATTCGGGATCACAATGGCAGAACTATGTGGTTTAAGGTGAGTAAATTTAAGTATTTTATTAGAAATGTAAGGAAGACAGTTTCCTCTTATACTCACACATTGCTCTGTTTGGTTTTAAAGGGAGACCCCGGCCCAATGGCACCAAAAGGTTTGTGATATCTCTGCCATAAGTTCAGCTGAAGTTAAAACGTTTTGAAAAAATCTAAATTTGGCCTAACAAGTCTTCTATTTATTTTTAAGAATCAAAGTCCCCCAGGGCAAAAAAGAGAATAAAGAAAGAAAACGACCACGATTACACAGACAAGAAAAAGGTGAAACTCCCCTTTTGTATCGCACAAATGGGAATCCTACAGGTTGAACTCTAACACTAGCCTCCCTTTAGGTGACCAGAGTTCAGCCAGACAGTGCCACCAAAAAGAAGGCGGTCAAACTGGAAGGTCCGACCAAAACTCCAAAGAGAGAGAAGAAAACACGTCCAACAAAAGCTGAACTGAAGAGAGGAAAGGCCGAAAAGACCCAGGAGGAAAACGCCCCGCAGCGCTTCACAAGATCCAATTCACGTCAGGGGAAAACCAAAAGTGCAGAGCCAGCTGCAGGTGAACGCCAAAAGAAGGGAACAGGTTTTTTGATCCGACATGTTTGGAGAAATGGTCTTTAAGAATTTGTCTGTTCCATTTTATACGCTAGGTAACCAGAGAAGAACTAAGAGAGGGACCAAGAAGGATTAGTCACAAACACCAAGGGGCACCACTACTGTACGGGACAAGTTTATACTTTTATAATTTGCAATATTTTTCTAAAATAAAGCAGTTTTAATAAAATAAAAAATGTGTTGTACAAATCTTTATTGATTTTATGTGCCAAAGTGATCTTGTGGTAATCGCTGGACAGGGTGATTATCTTTTTAAAAAGGCAAATGAATGACACTAAAGACTTTTTTTTTTTAAATCACAGAGTAATCAGAAGTGTCACAATTTGAAAAGGCTTGAAGTTTAGAACGATTCCCTCTGTTGTTACGTGTGCTGGCTGGGTGGCGTCTCGTCTCTCCAACAGGTCACAACTGAGAGGGGAAAAAAGTTTTAGTTTTTCTTTTCCTGAGCAAGAAAAAGGCAAAACTAATAACATGGGAAGAGTTCACGATAGGACTGGAAACACGTACTGCCAGGCTTCCCTGACTGGAAGGGTGGTGCGCAGTGTTGCCGTGACACTGGACCCAAATGACTCATAGAGACGCAACACGGTTCCTTTTCCGTCCTCTGCCTATTGTGGAAACAAAAAAAAAACTAAATAAAAAAGGTCTGGTCTGGTTGGCATGCAGTAACTTTTTTTTTAGGCTTTAACGTGGCATGTGATGTCATACCTGCTTAATGGTCTCCAGTATGACAGATTCGGTACTGACGGAGAACGCACTCCAGGGTACCAAATCGGGAGAGCACGGGATCAGCCTCAGAGGGAAATTCAGGTTGTATGCGCACTGGATGACGGAAGCATCTTGGAAGGATCCTGCACAAAAGATGAAAGCGTTATTGACTTGCTACACCAAACACGGCAAAAATGAGCAAAGCGTACCTGTGTGAGGCATGACGGCGTAGGTGAACTGGTGGGTCCCCATGTCGGCCAAGGCATCGGGCGCCTTTGGAGCTCTCAGGCTGCAAAACACACTTCCCTGGTCAGGTGGGGGCAGGTCATATCTGGTGGTGCTGTGCGAGAACAGTGCCAAACCTCACAGGGACAGCGTCATCGTGTTCTTGTGGATGGAATATCCGTATTTGCAGTCGTTCAAAAGAGCGACCCCGAAGTTGTACTCTGACAAGTCGGCCCATTTGTGACCCCAGACCTGTGATGGGGAAAAAAATTGATGAAAAGTGTCAAACGTGGGACGCAAACTTGCGAGGTTCCTGCACGCCACCGTGAAGGGTGGTACCTCGAATCTGGCCCAGTCCCATGAGGTGTTCCAGTGCGTGGGCCTCTGCAGATGGCCAAACTGGATCTCGTACGTAGCGTTGGGGCTGCGCACTCGCACAGGAAATTCAACCTTTAGAAATTTGTGCGACTCGGCCCACTGCACCTGGGGGGGGGTGCAGTATATTTCTAACATTTAATCTGCTCTTGAATATTTAGACAAAGTGAAAAGGATTTTGCTTCGTTTGTGTCTTTGCACCAGACCTCTGTGTACCTTTGTGTTGAACTTAATGTAGGGACACATGGCGTCCATGACGATCTCCTGGGTGACGGTGCTTTTGTCGCTGATCCTCAGGGTGAAGGCGACACTGCCTCGTAGCCCTCCAGAGGACACCACGTGAACAGGCTCTACCACCTCCAGAATTGGTTTCCTATAGTATATTCAAACTTAGTTTGATGCTATTAATTAATACATTTCAGCCAATGAAAAAAATACACTTTAGAATAAAGAAGCAGTCATGACTGAGACCTTGTCTGAAGATGGTAGTCCATGACATCCCAAGCATCCCAGTACAGGGGGACGTCATCAAATATCACAAACTGGTTCCCAACACAGCCGTCAGAAATCGCCTCTCTGGAACGAAGAGAGTGATTTATTGAATATGTGTCAGCGGATAACACGTAAGTCTAGTGTATGTTTTAAATTACCTGTTTGCACCCGTCAAATTCAGAGTGGCCAAAGTGCCATCTTTGTTTACAACAGTCTTTAAAATCCCATTCTCCATGAGGACCGTTCCGTCAGACTGTAATATCACGCATCACCGGGTTAGACACAGGGAATAATGACAGGTCTAAATGAAGATGCACATGAACGGTGAATACCTGGAGTGTGATGGAGACTGGAGTCACAGGCTGTGTGTCTTTGACAGGACTCACACCCACACTGGGAGCACTGACCAAAGCTGAAGAGCCAATAATACCACAGCGTTGGATGTTAACTTGTGTGTTAGTAACCACACCACGTAAATGTTCCAAACCTCAAACAACACAAACGGACCCAGTTTCTTGGAGCCATCGGTAATCTGGATGACCTCGCGGCGCTCCCACGGCAAAGAGTTGAACACGCCGACCGAGCTGCCCTTTGACCCTAAAGCATCAAAGGCCTCACGCAGCAGAGCATTCCCGTCGCGGCGTATCTCTAACGCAGGGAACGACAGGTAAGAGTGGCTCTGGCAGGAACTGACAGCTGCTTTAAAGGAAGGTTTACCTTCATAATGTTTCAGAGCATCCTCCACAACCATCCCTATGCAGCTGCCAGGAATCACATCGTGGAACTGGTTCAGAAGAAGAAGCCTGACGAAAAAAAAAAAAAAAGGAAATACAAGTCAGAGTAAACAAACCGCAAATGGGTGTTTAGTTTTTCTGTTTTCTGAGGTGACTGAACCTCCACAGCTGCTGCAGTTTTTCCTGAGGATACTGAAACGTCCTATCCCGGCACAGGGCCAGGCAGGAGGCAATCTCGATGTCGTGGAGCTGAGCCTCACACTGCCGGTTCTCTCGTTTAATCTGCAGATAACCGGAGAAAAGAGAAAGCGGTGAAATACAATTCACACACCAAGAGCGCATTGCACCTGCTAACCTAACTCCACCAGCGTTTTGGAACTGACAACACCAGTTCTGATGGAGATGGAGATTACTTCTGGCCTATCCTAGGCTGAACTTTTAGCACTGCTGTTCCACCTGTGCCTGTGTGGTGTAGGTGCCATTGTGCAGCTCAAGGAAAAGCTCTCCGGTCCAGGTACAGAGCAGGGCCGAGTCGGCCTGAAGCTGTGAGAAAAGACTATCAGGACTGGACATCTGGACCCTGGGAAAGAAAACACCAAGAAGTGGAGAGGGAAATGAATGATAACATCACTGGACGCATTTTCACTAAAAACATCAGGACATGAGTCTGTTGACGTTAAAAAGTCAATTTTATGACTTTTTCAATCCAAAAACGAGTCTGCCTGCACGCTGACACACCCCATGTAAAGTTTCACCACAGAAATGACTCAAGTTTATAAAAGCATCAGTCTCATTCATGCGTGGGAAGTGTTTCCTGCTGGGTCATTGTTACTGATGAGTGAAAGGGCAAAACTGACCTTGGAAGTCCATCTGTGTCCTGGATCAGACGCAGTCTGTCCAGCATCAGCTGCGTGGGTCCTCCTCCGCCATCTCCGAAACCAAACAAGGCTGCACTGTGATTGGCCCTGCCTTTGTCTTTGTTATTTCTAACAGTTTTCACCAGCTATGAAAAACAAAAAACGAAAGCAAACAAAGGGAGGACTGTAGTCTCTGACACAATATTCTCAGTGTTAGGATATGTGTGAGCCCCACTCACGTCCTCTATCTTGCCTTTCATCTCGTAAGAATTTCCAGGTGGGAAGTGAGTTAAAACCTTGGAGCCATCCAGACCTTCCCAGAAAAAGGTGTTGTGCTAGACAGAGGAGAAATTCAAACTGAAAACGAAAACATTCCGAATGTCTCAAGGCTTACGTGAGAAATGTACTTACAGGAAAGGTGTTAACTAAATTCCAGCTCAACTTCTGAGTCAAAAAATTGGAAATGCCACACCCCTGCATTATTTGAGGAAGCTGGGCTGAGTAGCCAAATGTGTCAGGAAGCCAGAACTGAGGAGAAGAAATAGTGACTTTTTTATCTCACAGTCTGAGCTGCTAAAAACCTAGCTGACGGACCATTTCATTCAAACGTACAAACAGCCAATGTTAACAGTCTTTATGAATACTACCTCTTTGCAGTGCAGTCCAAATTCCTGGATAAAAAAGCGCTGGCCTTCCAGGAACTGCCTGACCATGGACTCACCTGAGGGCAGATTGCCATCCTAAAAAAATAAGAAACAAGAATAAAAATACATGGCATCCATCGCATTAAAAAAACTCTTTTTTTTTAACTCGGTGTACCATTTCCACCCATGTTCCTCCTACTGGAATGAACTGGCCTTTCTTCACATATTGCTGGATCTTGGAAAAGAGTCCTGGATACCAGCTCTTCACCCACTGGAACTGCTGGGCCTTTGGCGAAACACACAGGTTCAAAAGAGGAAACGTACTAAGTCAATATATAATTATCAGCAAACTCTGGTGTTATGCAGCCACCTGAGAGCAAGTGAAGACAAAGTCAGGATTCTTCTCCATTAAACTGATCACTGTGACCCAACTGCGGCCACATTTGCGAATGGTTTCCTCATAGGGCCACAGCCAGGCTGTGGGTAAAAGACAACGGTGGGTGTTAAGTCTTTGACCAAAATGGGCTTTTCCTAAATGATGCTCATTACAACAAGTGTACAGAACAGTAAATAAAAATCTATTTCTTCCAATTATAATTTCAGTCTGTTTAAAAAAGCTCTAAAATCGTCTGAAATATGCTCTGTCATGTTAAAAACCGAACTAACAAAAAAGTGAAACTATATAAATGAGTTTCAATCTAAGATATGCCACAATAATCATTGGGAGAAAATCTACAAATATCGTATACCCTGGCCAGTTGAGTTGTAATGACTGGTAATCTTGAAAGCCACACTAAAATGCTTAGAAAGACAGCTTTTGGAGCAACACATAGTGCCACCAAGATTAGGTCTTTACTTTGTGTCACTTTTTTCAGGAAGACAAAGAGACAAAAAAATAAAAACGACACTCTCAATGCCAGCTGGCTGGAGGTGAAACCGGCAACTGAACCAGCACCTGAGTCTATGTGGCAGTGACCCATTGCCTGGACGGTGTGCTGGCTGTCCCCGTTCCGCTGGCTGAAGAACGTGTGAGCCAGACTGTGTGCTTTGGAGAAAGAGCCGGGATCAGCCGGGTCGCACAGGTTCACCATCTCGTTCACAGTGAAGAGGGCCTGGTATCCTCGCTGCTCTCCCTCCCCCAGCTCCTGTGAAGGGGCGAAAAACAGGGGCAACGTTCTTGGCTTATTTTCCTCTGACAAATTGGGCGTCTTTAGGCACCGGGACAGGAGAAATGACCTTAACGATATCAACGAGCATCTCGAAATCAGTCAGCAGCGCCCGGACGTCCTTGTTGAATACCACCAGCTCTGCTTTTTGGACAGAAAACATCCTGTTTGGGTCTGGAGCTGCAATCATCGACCCCTGACCAGCTCCAAAAAGCCCATTGCAGGCCACTTCCACATAAAGTGTAACGCTGAGGAGCGAAATAAAGATATTTTCAAAATCTGTTCAGTGATTTAAACAGCACTGCAATCTCATTGGAGTAAACTCACCTGTGGGGCTCTGAGTCTTTCAGGCATTCGGACAAGATATAACTTGTTTTTTCACCTTCCTTGGTCAGGCCCTGCAGGTACAAATGTCATGTTGTACATAATTATAAATATTGAAATCAGCATATGGTCTGACCACATCGTACATCTGCAGAATGACCTGGACTGGCTGTCCGTCTCTCCAAACCATGGCCTCTCCATCAGACTCCCACAGAAGGTGGACCTCCTTCCCAGTCCAGGTCTCAGGGATTGTCAGGGTCACTTTAAACCAGCAAGTCCACCACCTTCGACAAGCATCGAGCTTAGGTTAGTCCCACGACCCGGAAGATGAAACGATCAGACGGAGATCAGATCTAAATAATGTATCACTCACGTTGGTCCAAAGGTGTCACCCACTTTATAAGGTGCAAAGTTCTGCGTGGACGCTTCGCTGAATGGGATCCTTTTAGCCGAAAGGAAGGAAGTAATGGTTTCCAGTGGGCAAGAGTCTCCATACAACCTGCAAAGGGCCAGTTTTTTAATGGGAAACCCAAAAATATAATAACACAGTCAAGATTCTGATATGGAATTTTGAAAATCCATTCATTCTCAGAGTCTATTGGGAAAAGAAAACATATCACAGAGACAGTTTCCACAGTCAGAGCTTGTGGTCAGCTCAGTGTCCAGCGTGCAGCTGCAATGGGACATCCCTGAAGCACACGACAACTTATTTGGAAAACCTATACACGCTTGTTTGAGGAGATTAAGACTCGATCTCTGCGTATTAAAGTATGAGATTGAAACAGTTCAAATGGGCTCAGCATTAAGCTCTGTTACAGGGATTGTTATGTATTTGTAGTTCCTCCATTGTTCTAATGAAAAATAATCATCCTCACAGGTGATTTGCAGTGACTATAAGAAGCCTTACCGTCCTCTAAGATTACAGTCTGTGAAATAGACATCAGAGATGAACTTCTCCGCTCTTTCGAGGAGTGTGCGCCTGTGTTTTAGTACAGGCAGGTGATACATCACGAAACCTGCAACTAACCTGCAAACCTGAGCAACACGGTGCGCTAAAGTGGGATATAAAATCCTCGAAATTGCACTCAAAAGCTGTCACCGAGACCCGGAAGTAAAAGGGTTTTGCAGTTCAGGCTTTTGGCCACTAGATGGCAGTCACGTCCAACAGCCGTGGGCTGGGGTTACCAGTGGGTTACCCAATTTTTTTTAATGAATTCAACATGTTTTAGAGGAAAAAACACCAGGAAAAAAAAGTTGATAACCAATCTACTAATCCACTAACGAACTAACAGGAGAAAACAGGACAGAAACACAGACTGTATTTGAAAACACGTCACAGTTTTAATATTCGCCAGCTTTTATTTACAATGACTGTCCGCAGTGAAACAAATGTGGACAACCAGCACACACATTATTCAAGTCATAAACACAACTTGACACATGTCACAACACATTTTCTGTTTTGTATTTGAAAGAGAAAAAACACAGCAACTGGAAATCATCAATGATATTTGACCACAAGCAGCAATGAGTGGGTGAATGGTGTGATGAAGAACTGGTGGATACTGTTTCCCAGCACAGCTTTAGCTTAGGTTAAACTGTCACTTTGTGTGGATTTGCATTTGGTCAACTATCATGATGGTCTGTTTTTTTTGTTTTTTTTACTGACAGTTGAGCATTTAAACACAGAGAATGTAACATTGAAATAAGTGGATGCGCACATCACAGGCAGTGGGCTGACACAATGATGTAAGAGGTCTTCATTGGTCAAACTGTACAAGTGACATCTCACTGAAAAGCTTTCCGGAGTGTTTGAAAGTTACTCATGTGATTGGGCAGGGGTCGGGAGTCAGCCCACGTGCAGCCTTGAAGACAAAGGCCTGTTCTTATTCCCTCGGCATCATTCACAGGGCAGGAGCTGTGTTTGTATGGAACTAAGCACCCTTTTATTATAAAATCCATAGAGTTGCTTTAAGTACAGGGTTGGTGGAGATGCGGCACAGCCCATCCCTCTCAAGCCATCCTTAACTCCTGTACCCCTATTGTTTGGACTGTGGTTAGGCTTTCTCACTATGTCAGAACAGCCTTGTGGAATCAGTGCTATCATCTGACTTGACCTGCGCAACTCACTCGTTCAGAACTGGCCCAGTTCCACTGCCTGGGAGCTTCATTGCAGAGCTTTCCTCTAGAAACTCACCACATTGTCAGAGAAAGAGAGGGGTATTTGAGAAGACAGCTGTTCCTCTTACTCTCAGGGAGCAGTTATGCAGCATAAAACTTCCAGCATGGAGGCCGACTGTGTTCTGCCTGCCACATCACAGCAAAGAAAGGCTTGACTGTGGCTCAAGGGGAAAAAAAGGGCTTCCCACAGCCAGAGAGCTGTGTGCAAACTTAATCATGTGATGTTGCATGCATCCATAAACATCCAAAATGAGCCAAAGGACAATTTGACTAAAATACAGTGAGTGATGTGAGGGGACAGGGGTTCATGGAGAGACTATAAACTAACGTCCAGAACAATGAGTTAGACTCTGGAGCCGTACTCGTCTCGCTCTCCGAGGTTGTATCCAGCACTTTTTCCTCTATTCTGATCAGCAGCAGATCTAGGGGGGGAAAAAATCATAGGGCATTCGTATAAATACATGCTAATTGTAGTCCTAAATAGGGTGCACTCCCTTCCGCTGTATTTCATAGGATCATATTGTAATCAAGTTGTTTGTTATTAAGTTTCATGATATATGAGCTAAAGTTATGTTATCTAATGTGGTAATAAAACACTTTTCTTGTTAAATTCTTCAGTAGTGATACTTTTCTATTTTAATTCAAATTATGGATATTAATTATTACAAAAGAGAATTGCAACCGCAACCCATAAACAGAGTAGTTGACACCTCACAATTTGTTTTAAAGACACTCTAAACAAAAAAGGATGAGCATTCCATATTGTTTGATTGTGAACATGTCATGGCAAGGTAAAATGTGTGTTATTATTTTAAAGACATTAAAGGAGAGGTGCTTTATCGGTATATGAAATATATGTTCTGATTACATTTTTTTTTTCTCTTTTATCTCTCCAATATTTTTCTAGTCTTTAGATATATTTGGAAGCACAGGACAAATAAACTCTTTATAATAATTTTAACAGTTTATCATTTCTAAATATACTGTTGTTAAAACTTTTTAAACAGTCAAACCCAAGCAAATATCCCCGAGTAACACCACAGAAACCACAATTACATAATATGGCTTCATGATTTATGTGGTCTGAATCTGTCAGGGGAACAAGTGTGACAACTGGCAGTTGTGAGTGATTAAAAATTCAGCCTAATGAGGACTCAACCTCTTATAAACTCCCTGACTCTTAAGTCCCAGATATGTGAGTCAATTAAGTTTAACCATTTTCTCAAAATAATTCTGTTTATGCTCGCTTTATATGTGGAATATATGACTCAAACTCTAAAGTTCTTGCTTTAAAAAAAGTCCTCACTTCGATAGTATAAGACAAAATACAAACTCAAGTTTGTAAGATATAAATGATGAAGTTGACTACTTGAAAAGAAACGTTGGTAGCGTTTATCGTAAACAGACCATGTATATTTTTGGTTTTTATTAATTGCTTTTGGCCTCCACTTACCTTTTTTGCCTAAACAGGCAGCATACTATTGATACAATGAGAACTAATCCCAGTGTGGAGATCACCAGTATGGGAATCAGTAAACCTGTAGAGCACAGAGCAACAAAAACAGAGAAGTTCAGGTAATAGTCAGGGCTGTTACATCACTTCCCAAATATAGTCATTCAAACTTTTATTACCTCTGAGTTGGATGACCATAACTTCATGGTACAAAAAAAGACCACATCACTCCACTTCAGGCACAGTTGCATGGGTTACTACCCATGAGATACAGGGATTTGTTCAGCCCTTGAGGGTTTAGCTCCATACTATCTATTTATTTCTGCCAGATTAATTAGATCACCATCACACTTGTTATTTTCATTTGTTTGCCTTAAGATCGAGGCTAACTTCTGGTTGTTGATTTCAGACAGTTTTATATTAAATATGAAACATTTCCAGATCCATAGTCATTTCATATTAGATTTAAATTTATTTTTTTCCTCTTTTTCATGTCTTTGCGACGCAACTCTTTAGTGATGTTCATACACATTTGCATCTTTTTTCCAGAAGTATGCCATGATTTTCATATTCTGTTTTTAATAGTATTCATGTTGCTTCATCATGATGGGATTTGCTCTGAATGGAACACACATTAAGTGGGCTTCCTCTATTCTATACATGCTGTGTAAATAAAGATGTCTTGGCTTGACCTGATACATTAAAGCAAAGGTTATTATTACTTTGACAAAGCAAGGGCTGACTGGTTGCTGCATACATTTATCTTTTCAGTTTGTTAACATATATATATATGTACTATTTTATAGTGGAAAGATACGGCCTCATAATGGTAAGCAATGAGATGAAGTTGGAATCAGTGAATGATGGATGGAGACAAACACAAAATATGTAAAATCAACATACCAGTGTTTATCCAAAAAAGGTCATCTGAGAGACAAGAGAAAACACAAGCATGACAATTAAATCAATGAGCAACAAACAGCTCAGACATGGCGGTTAAAAGTATTAATGAAATAAACCTTTTCAATAACATTTTTCTCCTCTTAATGCTGCTTCTGTGAAAAAAATCCAACAAATCCAACGTATCACCATATCCAATGTATCATGCATTTTTTGCAGCTGGCAGTTAACTAAGAAATTGAACAACCATCAGTGACTCTGCAATAAAGAAACATCTAATAGTTTCAGAGCAAAACAGTGAAAAACACAGAAAAGTCTCGTTATGTCTGACTAAAATATCATGCCTTTATTGAAAATCTTTCACTACATTACAGCGTTTTCTTTCTATTTCTAACTGTTGCAAATGGAAAGTTGAAAAGTCATACAAATTGTGAGAAAAAACAGGAAAGTGACAGTAAACAAAAGCCGATTAACATGACTTCTTATAAGAGCTTCTTATATGGCATCTCAGATCAACTTTGGGTGTGTGCAGTTGACATTTCAAAGACTGTCTGCCATTGCTGTTAATATCAAATAGCAAATAGAACATGATGTCAGATCATCAGAAAGTGAAAAAAACTCCAAAGTCAGAAGAATATGACTTCTGCTTGGTCCCCATTTTAGTCAAAGTGTAGGTGGGGATTACTTCATTACTAGAAATGTGCACCAAGATAAAACAGATCAGGAGGGTCAGCAGATGCGGCTGGGAAAAAAGTGTGCCTGTAAACCAGCTTAATCTTAACGCTTTAGCACGAGGGCCCAGCAAACCGTCATGAGCTGCTAAGGTAAACGTACTGACTTAGGACAGTGTCATGTGGGTGAGCTCAAAGACTCACAGAAATGTTAACCTGTTTATTTGCAAAGGAGCAATGATTTAGTTTTGCTGGGAACCTTTAATGTTTTGGTTAGCTAACTCAAATCAAGACAGTATCCACAGAGGCATGAAGGAATCTTGTTAACTCTGCAAACTGCGTACGAAATGATGGGGAACACAATACTGATGTTTTACTTTGATATGTTATTGAGAGATGGTGTCATCAAATCATCAAATCAAGACTTGCTTCACCTCAACTGAAGTCTCACCCATAGAAACTAAAGCCTAAACATGTGCATAAAACCAATGCCCTTGCATTGTTGACCCAGAATGCATTGTGTGTGTAAAGGAATGGAAGGAATGGAACTTTTTATTCAATCATGACCAGAGAGGTTAATCAGGTCTATCAGTTTTGTTGTGTGGGGTTCCCTTTGAATGCAGAGGTTCCAGATGCATTTTTACCTCCACAACAACCTAAACTGAACCTGTAATCCTGCTGAGTGTCAGATATGTCTGACTATGTGTACTTTATGTACCTTGATGCATATGTATGATGCATTTAATTTGATTGGAATTAAAGCTATTGATCAACAAACTAACGTTCTTTGAATTCCAAGATTTCTGTTCTGTCACTCCTCTTAAGTGTATTCGTACAAAATATAATAAATTAATTACAAAACAATATTATTCAAATTAAATCTATGTGCACACACTGGGTAGACAACTTTAATATCAAATACAGTAAACATAGATGGTTTAAAAAGAAGGCAAAAAAGGTCTTTCATGATCTGATGTCTTGTCATATAGAAAAAATATGTGAGCCATATCTGGAATCTCTCTAATCTTCCCATTCCATTGGCAGAAGCCAAGGATAGCTGTGGCTGACGGGTTTCCTTGGAAGAGCAGCAGAGGGAAGATCAGCATACTTTACGGCTGCTCCGTCTTGTTTATTTGCATTGGAGGTCGTCTTTTGATTCGTGAGGGCTTTTGTCAGAGAGTGATTTAGCTCCACAGCCTCATCAGATGGTCGTCCGCGTAGGATGTGTCTGATGGTGGGGAGTGCTAAGTCTGACTTACACTCCAGGTAGCTCTTGAGATTGAGTTCAGGGAAAACAGTATTTCTTAGAGTCTGAACCAGCCGCTTCTCAGCGTGGGACTGTCTGAGCTGATGAAAAACTCTTTGCTCCAGTGAGACGTAGCACATTGTGTCTTCAGCCAGCCCCAACTTTCCCACATAGCGGTTGGTCTGGCTCTTCTTCCAAAGAGATGGATTCAGCAATTGCTGTTTGGGTTTGGCCAGATTCTCACTAAGCCAGTTCTTGTGGTCTTTCCTTTTGCCAGCATGGAGTTTCTGTGAGCCACTTGGTAGGAGCTGATACAGCCCTTCATCAGCCAAGTCTGCTAGGTCTCCGACCAGCAGCTGCTGAATGAGTCTCTTCCTCGTGAGGGGAGATGTGACTGTAAGGGTACCGTGCAGTCCTCTGCCTGCACCAGACACAGACCCAATGCTGTTAAAATTCCCAACATGTTGGCCACTCCCTGGAACGATGTTGGGTGCCACACTCACCATGCGATTTTTACAAAAAAAAGCAATTTATTGTCCAGCGCAGCCAACAATGATGCACAAAAAGCACAAGCCATCACCTGCTAAACGCCTTTTACCTGAGGGCCATGTCAAGCTGTGCCATTGGAAAAAGTGAAGCTCAGAGAGAAAAGTAGTGAAAATGTAGAGAACATGCACATCTAGAATGCACATTCGAGTGCTGCACACCGTGGTGAACCAGGTAAGTCGGGTGATATAATGCCTTTTCAAACATGGCAGACTTCAGAACAGACGTTAATGTCGATCAGCTGTAAATGTTTGCATAAAGCGCAGCCACAAGCAGGTGATCTAACACAAGCCAAAGCCAGCGGGAGAGTCCTTTGCTGTGCAGTGAAACATGTGCCATCCAACCATCAAAACGTGCCTATTCACACAGCGGGTGCATCACATATGTGAGCTTTTCACTCATGCGCCAAAAAATAAAGCAAACTTGACATGAAGTCCTAACTTACCCTCCTTAAAAGATACCAGTACAACTCGGCTTTCGGGCAGCTGTGGTTTCCTGTAGTTACTATGTAGTGGCATGAGGGCTGAGTCTTGGGCATAGGAAGAGTAGAGGGCCGTTGCTATGGAGAGAAACTAAACACACACAACAAAACAAAAGAAATTCAGAGCAATTCTTTTTCCAAAGCTTAAAAAAGGTTGGGACAATAGAAAAATTAAATAAAATTCCAGTTTAACATTGTCATTGTCACTCAAAACATCAACTGTATCACAAAGAAAAGTTGCAAAAACTGTTGGAGCACCTGTTTTTGAGAAATTGTCACAGGATTTCTGAAAACGGTCCACAGCACACTTGGATAGCACGGAGGAGTCGTCAGGGAGCCGTCGTAGCGATAATACTCATCCAAACGCTCGGGCAGAAGCGTTCTTATGTTGAAACCAGGCACCTGCACTTTCTGATCTGACGTTTGAAGCAACAAAACAATTTCAGCAAGTTAAAACTATTTCAACGGATGTAAAATCTATCAAGGGCACACTGGTGAGCAGATGAAATATTCTGATCTTAAACCCAGAATAAAGAGATAGAGAAACGTGCATGTTGCTCACTGTGGGCAATGACTAGGCTCCATAAAACTAAACCTTTATGCATTATAAATACTTGTTAAAGAAAAAATAAAACGTATTTTAGATTCATAGCGTATGATGGATGAGATCATCCCCACCTGCCCCTTCTCTCTTCGCAACTACTCTAACATAAATCACATATATCTGCTGGGTTTGAAAAAGAAAAACAACATCATCATAACTGCTCCAAGGCTGAATCTCTTTTTCTGTCATGGGAAAATAAATAAGACTGAGCAGATTATGGCGGAGCAAACACAGTGCAGAGTGGAGTCCCACCCTACAGACTGTGGGTATTGGTTCCCTCAGATTGTTACGTATGAAACCCTAACAGTGGATTTTCAGGATTGATCTAAACGTCTGTCTTACCCACGACATATTGTTGCTATGGCCCTATGGTCATAAGGTTAAAAACTTTAAATCTTAGAAGTTGTTGATTAAAAAAATATAATTAAACTCACCTCTGTATTTGATGCCATTGATGAACTTTAGAAACTGATCAAAAGCTGGATTAAATTCCCCAACCTGTGCATAAACAACATTTTGATGGCTGCTCTACAGCAACAAGAAAATACAATTAGTCCCAGACTGCCAGCTCCTGAGGACCTACCTCCACCAGAACCCCCAGCACAGCCAGACCGTCAGACTTATCCACAGCCATGGATATATTGGGATATTTGTCAGAATTGTAATGTACAACATGCATCTGTGAATAAAGAATAAAAATTTGTGAAATGTTGATAAAATATATAGGCCTATTTTTATTTTTGCTAAAAAAAAAAGGAAATATGTCACATACGACTGATTGCTTTTAGTATTTTTTCTTTGAGTACATCACAAAGACAAATGTGTCATTCCAGGAAACTTAGATGATTATGTATATATGGACTAACGCAGACATTTACGCAGGATCTAGGAAATGTTCAATTTTCCATCATTCCACCCCTTGAAAACAACATGTCATCACAGAGCTGTGGTCTGAAGTCTGGAACTATTTGAAAAGATGTTTGTCCACTAAGAGACTCAGGTCAAACCGCATCACCTCAGATGTGGCTGCACTGTAGCTGAGGCTCCGTAACTTAAAAGCACACAGGTTCCAGCATCTACTCAGACATTGCCAGATTGGAAAAGAAAATCTCCCTTTTTCACCTTCTCTTAAGCCTGGCTGCCAGATATTTTGCTTGTCTTAAAGCACTAAAGTAAACTATTGTGTGAAAACTGCTTACAGGGCTTGACACATTAAAAAAGAACAGACAGCCACTACTTTCCAGAGGTGGTTGAAAACCACAACATATAATTGTCTGGTACTTTAATTCCTTTAAACCCTCCAGGGATAAGACACTGACATACTATACAGCAATGTACATAATTAGGCTCACTCATGCTCCTTTTCTTCTGGCTTTCAAGGCAAAAAATATGTAGAGGTATTTGGTAAGGAGAAAATGTATTTTGAAAATGAGAAAGTTGGAACAGAACTGTCTTTTTATGAGTTGTACAAATTTTAAATATAGACAAGTTTTAAAACTTAGCCTTACATTCAGCCAGGCCCATGATAAAAGGGAAGACGTGGAACAGGCAGAGTCACTCTTAGATGTACACTGAATTTCCATTTCTAAAAAGTGATGAGCTGCATCAGCTTCAAAGGGCATCAATGTTCCAGTTTCTTTTTTTTTCCGTCATAAAGAACCATATTATTTGGTTGCTCCAGAGATACAGTCTGAAGAAACAAATGGAGATAAAAAACTATCCCAGATGTCACCGGGCAAGACTGAGATATTGAGATATTCATGTATTTAGATATCCATGCTTACAACATAAATACACTGTGCATTTTACAATTAAACACAATTCAGGACCGCTATCAATCTTCCCAAAAGTGGAAATCCCAGAAAGTCAGATTGTTTAATGACCAGAAAAACAACCAAAAACCCCCCCAAAACTTTAGCTCAGGGTCTGAGGGGCCTTAATGGGATGGACTGCTCATTTGAGGGTGCATTTCTGTCATTTCAAGAGCTGACAAGGATCAAAGGAATGAGGGTTGATTATTTTTTGTCATTCTCGACCGCTCTCTTTTGAAGCACTATTAGGTCAGAAATGCAGATTGTTTGACTTACCTCTGCCGCATACTGTTTACCGTTCACCGTGTGTTCAGAGCCGGCGGGTCGACTGGACGAGCCCCAGTGGAAATGTAACTGAGCCGCGGTGAAACGCCGATGCAGGCTGGAGATGTGCATCTTTGAGGGCAATGATATTTGCACTACAAATCAATAGAAATGAAAACAAAGCGCACATTGAAAAAGCAGGGTGTCACTTACTTTGTTTCACATCAATCGACCATAACGTTATTTTTCTGAGGAGGTCAGCACGTTTACCCACTTTGTCCCGTCAGAGTACTGTGGCCACACTTAACATGTTAAATGGTGGAGTGATGCATGATGCACTTCTCATGTTCGTCAGCATGCCATGACTGCTTGCGCACTAAAAACCCGTGTCAGCATATGTCAAACACACGTCCCTCTGACAGTGACATTCAGCATGGGGTGTGCAGGTCCTTCAGGTATGCTCACATAAGCAGTTATTCAGCCTTTGTTTCAGGAAAAAAACACATTTTCCTTGCCCAGATTTCTCAGCATGAATCCTAATCATCACTTGGAGGATGTTTCATGCATTTTCAGTACAGTTTGCTCCTAATATCTGTGATGTTCTACATAAACAAACACTTTTGCATGTTCTGATTGCAAGCTGTGACCGGTTAGAATGCTTCGGACAGATAAGGCTAAGTCAATGGAAATACGTTTGCTTTGTTAAATCGCTTGAGTCCCGCCATAGGCAGAGACACAGCAAATGAACGGCTTTTGCTCACATTTCCCAGTCTAAAATTGGAGCTCATTCTTTGGGCAAATGGACAGTTAAGATAATAAGAGACTGAATATAGAAAATTGCTGTGGCAGATCCAGAGGGATAATACTACCGTCTATTTGTATTTTCTGTTATGTTGACCCAGAAATTAGGTCTCCTGGTTTATGTATTGCTACTTCTGAAGAGGTTGACTCATACATCATTTTGATTTGAAGAACTTTTGGACTCAAAGCCAAACAAAATTAAATATTTGCACTGTCTCATACACAGTTGTGATTACATGAGTTTAAATTACAGATTGCTTTTGACGTATTGAATGTTCTCACATATTCAATGAGCCATTCTGTTGATATATACTCACAGGAGTGCCCATTATTTCCCAGAGTGAGTTGCTCATTTGGTGACAGGTTGTAGTTTTGAACTTCAATTGGACGTAAAGTTGGGTCAAACCTCAGCAGCTCAGACTTGATGTCTATCGGGGACTGGAAAGTACCTCCACAGTATGGATAATGCTTGGACCAGTGGTGTTCTCCTTGTGGCCCTGCAACAATACCAGTACGAATGCTTTTAAGCATGACACATTGTACATACTTAATCTATCATAAGTCTTTCCACAGATGACCAGTAAGGATTCATTTAGAATATTTTTTTTTATCCATCACCTTTGTCTGAAACATGCTTATGAAATCAGTGCCAACAGTTTTGTAAACTTAGCAAACAGATTAACGTTTACATTGTCTCATCATATTACAAGGAAGTGTGCTGATAAACTGGACTTCAAGTTAGAATTCTATCCAACATGTCCCATCCAATTGAGTTGTACCAAATTTAATAGAAATGTACCATTAATCTGTAAGAGTGAGGACCAGACAGTTGTTTTCAATGAAATCCGGGGTGAATTCTTCTTTCCAAATGACTGGTTTCTGTAAAGAACGAGACACTAAAAATGGCCGGAATGCAAATTGAGCCATGCAGCTTCTCAAAGGGACCTCAGCTGCATGTGGCTGTCTCTTTGTGATGTGTTTGGAGTGGCGATGTGGCAAACAGTGCTTCAAAACAATGCATCACAAAAATGGTGATAAGTCATCTCTACGTTTATTTTTTTCCAAACATTATACACAGTCCACAATGGAGCTCCCCAGTTTGCAATAACTGAACTGTATCAAATATGAAACCATAATATTAACAAAACAAATCATGTATCATCTCCTTCCGGCTGCTGATTTGACAGTGATTTATTATCCATCCAGAATTAATCAGAGCCTTTACCATTCACCATATGCCAGCTAATCACAGTTAAATGTGAATGATACAGCATGAAGCCTGGCCCCAATCCAGCTGTCAGACAAATGTGGATTGATTTTATAAGACGCACCAAAGGGCATCAAGTGAAGCTGTGAAATCACTGAATACTTTATTGGTGCAAGGCTCCAAGTTCAGTTAAGGTGAAGAACCCCAACAATAGTAAGGAATGCACCCGTATCATAGGGATTTTTCACCACCCCCCTCCTTTGCGTTATAATTTCAGACAGGCTACCCTTTAATAATGGACATTTAGTTACATTTGGTGGTCAGTTGGCAGTCCTCTACAGAGCATTCATGTCTGTGGGTAATTTCTTAAATACAGAGTCTTCACTTTGAAGACTAAACTGTAAATTAGAAGATTTAGATAAGGGTTTCTGAAGAATGATCTACTCCGAAAAGAAACTACAACAGTCGTCATCAACATCCCATATCAAGATTCCCTGTTAGTCCTCTGCTGGAGGGTGTAGCGTTGAGGTTAGGATAAATTGCTAGACTCAGCAGTGACCATGTCAACAGAAAGTGCTACCAGCCCTACAGACAACTGACTGCTATGACACAAGGCCAAGGGCTCTGGATGTAAGTCAAGATTAAATTCACTGTGATGCAGTTATGATCAGGCCAGCGGCGGGCTTTGTCAACTTCAGCAACTCTTTCTTCTGAAATCTTTACAAACATCATCACATTTTAGTGAGAGAATTATCATTTACAGTGTTTAGTGGGCTTTTTAATAACACGCATTGCACATGTTTTCAGAACAGAGGAGTTCAAAGCACAGCTTTTTGCGGCACAGAATTGGTTAAGTTGTTTTACATTTTATTAATTTCAATTTTGGGATTTACATTTTTAATCATTCTATATAATATAAACAACACTGTGAACAGAAAAATACACTTTTAAACTATGTTTAACCATTAATAGCTCAGTACCTATAAGCAAGTAAATAAGCTTTTTGCTGAATGGGCTCCTCTGTTCAGCAAGTGTAATTTCATTTAATTATAATCGTTTGACCTTAAATAACTGTGCAGAGAAGTCTTTTAGAACCCTGTTTATCCCACATGAACAAGAGGAATTTATTTATCTCGCATCACAGTCATGCAGTCAGAGAGATGTTGGCAAGCCTGACCAATGAATGAAACTGTCAAAACAAATCTAATGCTGCACCTGTCTACATGTAGGTTAAACAATCAGTCCTTGAATGCATCAGTCTTTTGAGAAGCACTGACATGAAACTACAGGTCAATGCTGTGAGCACTGTTTATATAAGACAGTCATGTGTCAAGAAGTTCAGATACTTTAAGGCATGAGACAAAAGCACTCATCCACTAATGAAATGTTGGGATCGCAGTGTCGCAAATGAACTCAACAATAACATGAGGTGATGGGGGGATGTCAGCTGTTGTTTCGACGGTAGTATCCGCTCCAGATCACTTACTGCCTACTCGATTGTTGCATCACATTAAATAGCAGCCTTCAATAAACCACCAAAAGCTGTACGTTATTTGATTGAAAATAAGCATTCAAATATAATTATTTTTAATAATATCATCACCATAATTAATACTTATAACTAGCAAATTTAGATAAAGAAAAGTGAGGAAAGCAAACATGTATAGTTTATTTACGCCCCTATGGACTGGATTGACAGTTTAAGAAAAGGTTCATACATGTCTATATAGAACCAATAAACGATATAAGTAAAGTTGGGGGAAAAAGTTATGCAATATAAATATGGAAATGATAATGTTATCAGACTTACCACCATATGTCCATTTAGCACCTGTAACAGAGAATAATATACTTTACTCCACCGTGTATTTTACAAAGACACTTAAATGGAAATTTCCCAGGGAATTATCTAAAATGATGGTGAAACTAGATGCAAAAAAAGAGAAAAGAAAAGAAAAAACAAGAAAACAAATCCACAAAATAAAAAAGTAATGTGAATTGTTTTGGGCAATAGGACGGAAACACCTGCCCTGAAATATTCTCTCTGCTCAAGACTTTTCCAAAGCTGACTTTTGAGATCTTACCATGCGTAATGCTGAGCAAAGTCAGCTGGAGCGCAGCGATGAGAGGGAAGCTCACACAGCGCATCTTGACTTCCTCAGCTCTGAGCCTGAGCGCCAGACTTCAAAAAAAGCCTTTTATACTCATGTTGCCAGCCTCACTGTTGCACGAACTGACGTCAGAGCAGCAACACGACCGGCCGTCACAGTCATCTGGTCACCGGGGGGTGACAGCAACACAGCGGCCACCGCATCCCAATGAAGTCACTCATTAAGTTTCCACCTCAGACCTGCAGACGTTTCGAAGAAAAAAAAAAAAAAGAAAAAAAAGAGGAGCGGACATTCTGCAGAGAAATGTGCCACGCTGAGGGGCTGTCAGGTGGCGCGTGAGCGCGTACCTCACACAGGAACAGGCTGGCTGTCACAGTAGATTTTTACGCACCACACACTCACACGAGCGCGCGCACACACAAACACACACACATTTATATATATATATTTATATACATATATGATTGTGTGCGTGTGTGTGTGTGTGTGTTTGTGTGTGTGTCTTGCCACCACAGCAGCAAGAGGACAAAAGGACAAAGGGTCTCTGGTTTTCAGAACCTACTTGCTGGGATCTGAAGGCATCTATGTGAAGCACATTGCCTAACATAAATGCCCCTCAACATACTGACCACTGGGCAATGGCAATCCATTACAACCCAGATGCCAAACACTTCAGGACACCGTCACATGCGCTCTCTCCACACCCTTTCCGGTCAAAGCTCTTTCGAGGGCTCACTTATGATCAGGCAGGTGGTCATTATGGCTGATTGCTCTAAAATCTTGGTGTGTATGTCAATTATATATGCAGACAATCTTTCATCCTGAAGTTTTTGAAAAATACTAACATAACTCTTCTGACTTCTCCCATTTGACCTCTTATGCTATGTTAGACTTTTATGTTTGTGTGACGTAAATTCGAACAGGGTTTTCATGTTAGCTGCACAGCCCAGACTCTACGCTTAACGCTAGCTGCTTTCCTCAAAGAACCAAACTACACCTCTTAGGTCTCAATTTTTACCTGCCCTCGTATAAAACCCAAAGATATATGCTGCATCTCTAAAGCGATACTGATGATGTCTTTAATACAGTTAATGTAAAACTTTATCCTTAGCCATTTCACAGTATCACTGTGTTCACGATGAGAGCTGCAGACAAATTCACAGCCAACCAAACACTGACATATAAGATAAAAACAAGTGGTGTGAAAAAAAGAGTCCGTTCAGCAAAAGCAAAGTGACTTGTAGCTAATTTGGCATCATAGTCCATGAGGATATGACTGCTGTGCTACAGACATGGCGTTATGACTTTCAGCTGGAAACTAAATGAACTGTTTTAAGCAGCTGCTGAAAAGGAAATGATAGCATTTACTGTTTATTTTTCTGAAAAAGTTATTGACTAACTCTTTCTCATATGCTGATCTGGAAAATTCCTTCCTCCCTAATTACAAACTTTACAACACTGAGATCATTTTTGTCTGAGCTGGACAATTATGAGCTGAAACTAACCTGCAACTTCTCACCTCACTATGAAATAATTAGAGATGCATAGATTTTCAGCACCAGAATGAGATTTGACCATTTTTGTATAGAGTTAGTTGATTGAAAAGTAGGCATGGTAGCAAATGAAGTGAACTCAGTTGACATCAACAATCCTGTGGGCCACAAGTATTTAGATATTTCCTATTAAATCCAGTAAGGGTGAGAGAGGTAACGTAAGTAAAGTAAGTGAATTTGACTTTTGATTTGGTGTTTATGAAAACATAAAATGTGTATATGGTTTCTGCTCTAACTTTCATCATACAGAAAGAATCCAATGATCATCTCACCAGTTTATTTCAGTCATTGGCCAAAGTAGCAAATTTGTATTGACAAAATTTTGCGTGATAGTAGAGAAATGATATTATGTTATATAGGAAATTGTAAGACATTTGTCATTGCACAAAGTTTGTAAAATCAGTTTGTTTATTAATTAAATCGAGTTTGTTTATTCTCTCAAGTGTGTATGTACAGCATGTGAAAAAAATTATATAGAATCTTGATGATAAGTCTTCACAACCAGCTTTCTTCAGAGCTCAGATGTAAAAGAGCCATATAGTGAGAAAACATCTAGATATCAGGAATGGATCTCCCATCATGTTAAACAGACACAAATGTTGTTATTCTTTTAATCTTACTATTATGCAGTTTCTTCATGCTCTCAGAGGCTGAAGGAGAGAAAACATCATCACCAATGTGCCACCATGTGGTCAACTAGAAGAACCACATAAAGAAGACAACGGCTAGTTTTGACAGTTTTGTCTTGTTAATATAACCCATTGAATTAGTTTTTTTTTTTATTTGTTTTTCTGCAACAATATTATACTAATAGAACTAAATAT